CCAATAGATATGCCGCGTTCTTTGGCGTGCAGTTTATATCAGCTGACGTGCTTTGGTTATTAATATTGTCCAACATAAATTATTTGGAGTCACTGCGAATCTAATTTGTGACCTAGACCTTCCGTTTCCCATGACTTTGTGTTCAGCACAATGTTGATAAATTGTGAATAAATATTTTCTTAATATAAAATAATGGCATCCTGTTTGGGAACAGCCCATACAAATTACACCACAGACTCATTTCAATAGGTTTACTTAACCAAAAAACTATACTTCGCTGGTTTGGAAAGAGTAGTATTCTTCAAGTTAAGTTATCCAATATAATCAGCCACGTTCTATACAATGCTAATTTGAGACCTCCACACCATCACAATCCCTCATGATCCCGTGATCCCACAATCCATCTCACTCCTGCACACGAACTGATCTCATTGCTATATCTCTGCGATGGTCATCTTCTCAGCTACTGTTTTCTCCTTGAGCTACGCTTCCATCACAAATCTTGTTCATTTGTCATTATTCCTTCTAGCAGAGCCTTGCCCAAGCCTACTTTGTTAAACAAAAAAACAATACGTCTCGGATTTGTGCTCGTGCCCTGATCCAAGTGTTCCTTTTTCACAGCATAATTCCCAGCGTGCATCTATCTACATTTGCTTCTTTGCACACTTTTAAACTTTCCTCCGAATTTTATTTTTCAAGTTTGTGATCCATACCTTGTACCTGGCAACACAGTCTGAAAACTTTACATTTTGTGCCCAATGCTGCTTCTCATGATCAAATTATGTTTACATAAAAAAACACTCCATATTGTGAAGAGCTGTCATCATTAATCGGTAACATTTACCAAGACATATAATTTATAACTCTTTTTATCTTTTGGTTGGACCCTAATAAACACGTTCCTTCGGAGTGGGCAGGTAGGAAATTGGTTGGACAGCGCATTCGTGCACGACAGAAACCTCGCGGTCACGTGATGCACTTCAACCAATCCAGGAGCAGTACATGTTTGGGAGGGGCTATGCACGACAGATAAATAATCCCTGGTGGGCAGTGTAGAACTGTTGTTCCTACCTGTTAAATGGAATCTGTACAATCACTTCCTACGTCTAGAAGGGCCATGCCTATCACGATGGGGTATAGGCTGATGGTGCGATTACGTCATTAACCCCCGCTCTTCACATCTCGTATGATGGCATTACAAAGGAGAGTGTCTACACAAGTTGAGGAGTGGGGTAGTTTCCTTTGTTTGTGCATGAGTTCGCTGTTAAGTGAATTATATGCGCCAGAGTTAAATTCAATAAATGTGAAGGCGTTAAATGTGAACAAATTGTTATATACTGTACGATTTTTTTCGGTTTCGCAAGGTTTAAAATGTATGTACGTATTATTCAAAAGAACACAATCATACGCAATAGTGGCAAACACTTCCTGGTAGTAACACAGATTAGTAATACATCGTGCTAAATGCATGTTTTAAGCCTTGTGACAATGTCTCCTAAAAATGTACCAAATTTCCTTTTCCGATTACTCGGTTATTCTGACCAATAATTATTGGCTAGAAAATTTGAGCAATTATAATTGCTCAATTATAATTGCTCAAATTACAGCTGACAGCTCTAATCCTGTTCTTTTTTTGCCTATTTGTTTTGCAATATTCAATATATCCACTTTTTTGTTTAAACTACGCTACGTATCTATATATATAAAATCGTTCATGTCTGTCTGTCTGTCTGTGTGTATGTGTGTGGACTTTGGCCCATACGCACTTTCATTGGACGGCGGTTGCCCCTGCCAATGGCTAGCCACGCCTTCGCCGCTTTCATTGGACCTGGCAACGGCTAGCCACGCCTTCGCCAAGGGCTGCAGTTTCATTGGACGGCGGTTGCCCCTGCCAACGGCTAGCCACGCCTTCGCCACTTTCATAAGCTCCGTATTTAATTAAATAATAGCCATTACACAGTATTGTTGGAGCGCTAGGGGGGGGGGGGGAAGGAACGCCACCCGTACCCTGCCTTTTCCAAGCCGACAATTTTAGGCGAGGCCGCAGGCTTTGCACGCTACTAGGCCTCGACACCCACCACGCCACTCTGAGGTAAATTCATCAAAGTTTTTCCTACTCTTCACTACACCCCCACCACAATGTGTGCTATTAATATTACTTTTAAACCCAACGCGCCAACAATCGATTACTTTAATGTTCACTGTACAAATACTCATTAAGCTGGGTGAGCGTACTGCCAGTCTATCATGTACACTGTAGCCTGCTTATTAAGCTCGGTGAGCGTACTGCCACTCTATCATGTACACTCTAGCCTGCTTATGAAGCTGAGTGCGTGTACTGGCAGTCTATAATGTGGACTCTTGCCTGGTTATTATAATCGATTCTTTATATGTTCTTTGTACAAACAGTCATTAAGCTGCTTGAGCGACCCCAGTTCGATTCCAACTCACGCCCACCACCGCTGACGATTATTTGAAACGGACCTGGCCCTCCCCTAGGTCCACTCAGCCTCAAAAGCGTAACTGCTGTCGTGTGTGAACATCGTCACTGGGGAGACAAAGGCGGCGGGGCATCGTGGATCCAAGTCCCGGGCGAAGCCGGGTCATGTGTATGTGTGTTTGTTTATGTGTATGTCTGTGTGTCTCTATGTATGTGTGTATGTATGTGACGTCACCGCCACTTAGTGGCGAATGGCGGTTGTTGTTGTTGTTGTATGTGTGTTACGTGTCTGTCTGTGTGTCTGCATGTATGTGTGTGTGTATTGTGTATGTGTTTGTGTGCATGTATGTGTGTGTTTGTGTGTATGTGTATGTCTGTGTGTTTGTATGTGTGTGTATGTGTGTGTATGTGTTTGTGTGTATGTGTGTGTATGTATGTGTGTGTATGTGTTTGTATGTGTTTGTGTGTTTACGCTCGCATTACACAAATGTGTTGCTGGTCTAAGGCGTTCCTCGCACAGCATTGCCGCTTTATTATTTCAGTCGTTTACTGCCTTACGCACCCTGAAAGTCGTGTGTGTCTGCAGCAAGCGCGTGTATGTGTACCTATGGACGCGCGCGCGTGTGTTGTGTAGGGGGAACGGTAGTGTAGTGCTTAGCGTGCTGTCTGTGTCTGTGTGTGTGTCTGTGTGTGTGTCTGTGTGTGTGCGTGTGTGGTGTGTGGGGAGCGGTAGTGTAGTGCTTAGCGTGCTGTCTGTGTGTCTGTGTGTGTGTGTGTCTGTCTGTGTCTGTCTGTGTGTGTCTGCGTGTGTCTGTGTGTGTGTCTGTGCGTGTGTGGTGTGTGAGGAGCGGTGGGTGTAGTGCTTAACGCTACGCTGCGCTACCAACCCGGCGAACCGAGTTCGATTCCCGCTCACGGCCACCACCGGTGACGATTATTTGAACCTCCCCTAGGTCGACTCAGCCTCAAACGAGTAACTGGTGTGGCGTATTAACATCGGCACTTGGGAGACAAAGGCGGCCGGGCGTGGTGGATCCAAGTCCCGGGCGAAGCCGGGCCATGTGTATGTGTTTATGTGTATGTCTGTGTGTCTGTATGCATGTGTGTATGTATGTGTGTGTATGTGTTTTTGTGTATGTCTGTGTGTGTATGTATGTCGGTTTTGCCGCCGTGGTGGATCCAAGTCCCGGGCGAAGCCGGGTCATGTGTATGTGTTTATGTGTATGTCTGTGTGTCTGTATGCATGTGTGTATGTATGTGTGTATGTATGTGTGTGTATGTATGTGGGTTTTTTTGTATGTGTTTATGTGTATGTCTGCGTGCCTGTATGTATGTGTGTATGTACGTCTGTGGATGTGTTTGTGTGTATGTATGTGTGTGTCTATGTATGTGTGTGTATGTGTTTCTGTGTTTGTATGTGTGTGTATGTATGTGTGTTATGTGTCTGTCTGTGTGTCTGCATGTATGTGTGTGTGTATTGTGTATGTGTTTGTGTGTGTTTGTGTGTTTACGCTCGCATTACACAAATGTATAATGCGGGTCTAAGGCGTTCCTTACACAGCATTGCCGCTTTATTATTTCAGTCGTTTACTGCCGTATGCACCCTGAAAGTCGTGTGTGTCTGCAGCAAGCGCGTGTATGTGTACCTATGGACGCGCGCGCGTGTGTTGTGTAGGGGGAACGGTAGTGTAGTGCTTAGCGTGCTGCCTGTGTCTGTGTGTGTGTGTCTGTGTGTGTGTGTCTGTGTGTGTGTCTGTGTGTGTGTCTGTGTGTGTGCGTGTGTGGTGTGTGGGGAGCGGTAGTGTAGTGCTTAGCGTGCTGTCTGTGTGTCTGTGTGTGTGTGTGTCTGTCTGTGTCTGTCTGTGTGTGTCTGCGTGTGTGTCTGTGTGTGTGTGTCTGTGTGTGTATCTGTGCGTGTGTCGTGTGTGAGGAGCGGTGGGTGAAGTGGTTAACGCTACGCTGCGCTACCAACCCGGCGAACCGAGTTCGATTCCTGCTCATGGCCACCCCCGGTCAAGATTATTTGAACCTCCCCTAGGTCGACTCAGCCTCAAACGAGTAACTGGTGTGGCGTATTAACATCGCCACTGGGGAGACAAAGGCGGCCGTGCGTGAGTGGTGAGGGAGGGAGAGTCGTGAGGGAGGGAGAGTGCTGAGGGAGGGAGAGTGGTAAGGGAGGGAGAGTGGTGAGGGAGGGACTCAGCCGCAAAACGAGTAACTGGTGTGGCGTATTAACATCGCCACTGGGGAGACAAAGGCGGCCGGGCGTGGTGGATACAAGTCCCGGGCGAAGCCGGGTAGTACAGCTAGTATACATATATAGCAGTACTCTTTGGTTCTTTAGGTAAAGTCACGTAGGTATAAAATAAAATAAATGTATACCTACGTGACTTTACCGAAGGAACCAAAGAGTATGAATCCCTGCAGTCACGAAAACTTCGAATCTAGATATATCGCTGTATTTCTCAGCAGTGTCCCTAGAATGACTTATTTTTCATTTTGTTACAAACTTACTGCCCATTGACTTTTGCGTGTAAATGAAAGCCATCATAAAAACAGGTTTATTTTTCTGTGTCTTCCTTTATCAAGCTTTTACTCCTTAGAATATGCCCAATCCACATCGTCTGGCTTTTTATGAATTGTTCTGATAAGAATTCTCTCCTCTACCTGCCATAAAACGTACTCATTCTCTCTATCGAATGGAATTAATTTCTCTAATCGATACCACACTCACATCTCAAGACATGATTTTCTATCCGCTTGTAAATTTCAAACAATATACACATCCCCACAAAATATCACTGCCGATAAGGGGTAAAATCCATGTATCTATATCAAGTACGTAGCATTGTTATTCACCCATACATGGTTTTAATGTCACAAATCTGAAGCAGTGGTTAAAATCTGCATCGCTCACTTTTTAAACCAAGCCACCTCATGACTTATCCTCTGGGCTACAGCGTAACTTTGGATAAGTACGCAGAAGATGCCGATTGTTTAATACTTAACACCTGTGACGAAGCACCGAACACACTGCTACACATTATCTACCAGTGTTTACATATAGATGCAGCCTAAAGGTTGTTACTATGACTAACTCATCAGCTAATTTGTGATGGGCAATATAGATTTTTTCCCAACCCAGTTTTTGAAAAATATCTTGTAATATTACTGTTAACAGCATTCATGAGTGCGTATGTCCTTGCCTGATTCATTTTCCTTTATTTTTGTTCTGCTATCGTGTGCAAACAGCCTGTTGCCAAAAGGCAGTCGAATAGACAACACTTGATGTTCTTCAGAGCCATAAAGAGTCTGATTAATTCAGTTTGGGTTCATCAACACAAATTCAACACACGTGTTCGTAATGGAAGTGCACTTAAATATACATTATAGGTGCTCAGTACAATTCTTTGCATTTGTTGATGCAAACAATTGCACCGCCAATAGAATCCACACTAATCGATTATTGTGGCAACTGATTGCATTCTGACGTGGACTTACTGAAAGTGATATATTTCGCAGCTGTGTGACCTGAAAGAAATGTGTTCAATTTACAATAGATGACTGCGAGCACATCGCTGCTGTTGGTAAACATATGGCAATGTTTGATTGCCATTCAACAGAAATGCCAAAAGGTGCAGAGGGCCTGGCTAGAGCTCTCTCACAATGTCAAGCAATGCTCGATCGAGTTAAATGCCCTCAATAGAAGTATAATATTACCTTTCAATAACAACGCACTATAATAACGCAGAATGATGGATGTTTTTTTTGCGCAACCATGTTCTCATTTTCGTGATATCTGAACCGGTTCTTTTGCCCCCCTTTATCAACCCGCACTGGCGACAAATGATGAAGTATGGTCAAATAACACCCATGTTCGATATGGCGTGGGGAGGCTTTCATCAAGCAGTACATTAATAAATCGCCTAAACAATGTTGAGTTTTAAATTAAAACGGTACAATCGGTGTCATAAATATAATAGCCATGCCCTTTATATCCCTATTCCACTGACAAAATAAGCCAGCCCAGCGCGGCTCAGGTGCCAGGTTGTTTTTCCACTGCAGAGCGTCGGGCGAGTCAAACTCCACATTACAACCATGACATGAGGGTTAAGCAATTCGATGTCACTTTAATGGGCATCTTACCACAAGAGATGGGAACCCGTTTTACATTTCCTGCAGAGTATCCATCCCATAGCTATGCAAACACATCGTTAGCAGTCGGTGCCAGCAATTTGGTGAAAATCCAAACAGTCTGTTGGGGATTTTTTGTGAGAGTCGTTGCCGACCATGTCGAAGCCATCAACACGTTACGAAGTTTTTATTTTTATCACAGAGGAAATATAAAACAAGGTTCGAGCCCAGGGTCTCGGTGGTGCTGGCTCAATGAGCTGCCAGCAGCCAATGGTATTTGGAAAAATGGACGATATTATTATCATGGACCTTATATCATACGATATATCTTGTAGTATTGGCAGATTGTGGCAACCCTAGTGGCACCATATACACGGTGTGATTATGGACAAGGGCCAGTGAAACTCCAAAATCCCGGGTTCTGCCTGTATCCTTCATTCAACCAGGATATGAAATAAACCCATTGAGACACATTAAAAAACATTGCCTCTTTTGCAATGTTGACCTCGGTTGTGCGATGAGGTATTTAGGTGAAATTTTCTCACTTTAAGTTAGTCACCTAAGGCACGTGCATTACACGATCCCCGCATCCCGTGCCATTTTGTGGAACGCGCTGTCCTTGCGGGAGAGGAGAACGTCGGGCGAGTCGAACTCCACGATTTGGCCACTGCTGAGCACCATCACCCTGAAAATCAGCACACGTCAATCAAGCTTTTGGGGACAACCACTGATACTATTTTGCCTCTAGTAACACTACAAAGTCTAGAAATACGACGAGGTCAAACAGCTACGTTGACGAATAAAAACATAAGGAAAAGAAGAAGGATCGCCGACGCTGTTGCTAAAGGAAGTCATCAAGTGGAAATGGGCAGCACACGTCATGATAACTGACAATATACAAAATTAAGTACAGAGAGTGGAGACCGGGAATCAAAGGCAAAAAAAGCAGAGGAGGATGGTGGGAAAAAAAGACGGGACAGAACAGAGTTCGGAGGCCACGAGTGCAAGGGAACAGCTGGGGAATCAAGGTGATGGCTTTTGCCGAGCAGTGGGAAGTTACAGGCTGACAACAACTATCCACCTCAGTTGCAAACTCTCTGGGACTTTTAATGTCCCGGGGAAGATGTACAGATTTCCCAGGAAGAGCTACCTTAAAAAGGGTGCGATCCTGGAAAGAAAAAAAAAGCAGGAGAGGTGACAACCCCGACACTCACCGTGTGCAGTCGAGCACGGTGTGCAGGCGGTGCGCAATGGTGAGCACAGTGCAGGCGTGGAAGTGCGTGCGGATCGTCCCCTGGATGAGGGCGTCTGTCTCCACGTCCACGGCGGCCGTCGCCTCGTCCAGCACGAGCACGCGCGTGCGGCGCAGTAGTGCCCGCGCCAGGCACACCAGCTGCCTCTGCCCGACGCTGCGCGAGACACAGCACGCACGACACAGCACGCGTGACACAGCACGCACGACACAGCACGCACGACACAGCACGCGTGACACAGCACGCGTGGCACAGCATGCACGACACAGCACGCCCGACACAGCACGCCCGACACAGCACGCCCGACACAGCACGCACGACACAGCACGCACGACACAGCACGCACGACACAGCAAGCACGACACAGCAAGCACGACACAGCGCACGCAGGACACAGCACGCACGACACAGCAAGCACGACACAGCACGCACGACACAGCAAGCACGACACAGCGCACGCGTCACAGCACGCACGACACAGCACGCATGACACAGCACGCACGACACAGCAAGCACGACACAGCGCACGCGTCACAGCACGCACGACACAGCACGCACGACACAGCACGCCCGACACAGCGCGCACGACACAGCACACACGATACAGCATGCACGACACAGCACGCACGACACAGCACGCAGGACACAGCACGCACGTCACAGCACGCACGACACAACACGCACGACACAACACGCGCGTTACTCGCCGCTCGGACCCGTCTCATCGTGTTTGTGAATGCAGTGCGCCAAACGCTCCACCCTGACACACGATGTGATTGTGTGTAACGTTATGTCATGTAACAGTTCGCCCCGAGACTCCACGAAACATTGTCATGGTTTCGGAGGCGTATTTCAATTCAAGAATTGATTCTCTTTCGTCTCATTTTACAATGTAAGTTGTCTTGTTTCTTGTTTGTACATCTCTTGTTCACTCCATTAACCCTCAACGCAATATCGGTGCATAGTCCTCAACATGACAGGATAAACTGTAAATAATACGGTATTTCCCCGCATATCACCCGCGGGGTATACCACTTTTTACAAACAAATCAAGACCCTGCGGGGTATACGGAGGTGCGGGCTATCCCAAAATATTTTACACGTGTGACATGTCATATAACTCGTTACATTTTTTCATGGTAGGACTATCCACTATGCCACACTTACCTTTGACTAAAGCACTGCTGAATAAACCACTCACACTAAAATTGCACATGTTATCACGTTTTAAATGAATTGTTTGTACAATTAAACGACAATGTTTGAAGTGCGCGCATGTTTACCGGCGACGGGAGAGCTGGGGGGAGAGAGAGGTGTGGGTTGGGGGGTGGGGCAGCTGGGGGGAGAGAGGTGGGGGGTGGGGGGTGGGGCAGCTGGGGGGAGAGAGGTGGGGGTTGGGGGGGTGGGGCAGTTGGGGGGAGGAAGAGGTGGGGGTTGGGGGTGGGGCAGCTGGGGGGAGGGAGAGGTGGGGGTTGGGGGGTGGGGCAGCTGGGGGGAGAGAGGTGGGGGTTGGGGGGTGGGGCAGCTGGGGGGAGGGAGAGGTGGGGTTGGGGGGTGGGGCAGCTGGGGGGAGAGAGGTGGGGGTTGGGGGGTGGGGCAGCTGGGGGGAGGGAGAGGTGGGGGTTGGGGGGTGGGGCAGCTGGGGGGAGAGAGGTGGGGGTTGGGGGGTGGGGCAGCTGGGGGGAGGGAGAGGTGGGGGTTGGGGGGTGGGGCAGTTGGGGGGAGGAAGAGGTGGGGGTTGGGGGTGGGGCAGCTGGGGGGAGGGAGAGGTGGGGGTTGGGGCAGCTGGGGGGAGAGAGGTGGGGGTTGGGGGTGGGGCAGCTGGGGGGAGGGAGAGGTGGGGGTTGGGGCAGCTGGGGGGAGAGAGGTGGGGGTTGGGGGGTGGGGCAGCTGGGGGGAGGGAGAGGTGGGGGTTGGGGCAGCTGGGGGGAGAGAGGTGGGGGTTGGGGGGTGGGGCAGCTGGGGGGAGAGAGAGGTGGGGGTTGGGGGTGGGGCAGCTGGGGGGAGGGAGAGGTGGAGGGGTTGGGGGCGAGGCGACGGCGTTATCGTAGTGCCGCTATTATCTGCGCAGTGCGCAATCTGTACTTACTTATCTACCAGTTATGTTACTTATTTATTTGATATTTACTTTTGTTACTTATTTACTGTTTAAAGTTCACTCGTCTCCGGTTAGTTTGTTTTCTTTGTGCACGTTATGATTTTAATGTTAACAATTGATTGTGGAATGTATTACAAATGTACTTCGTATTAATATGATGGAATTAAGCTGCGGTAACGACGTTAAATATATGAATGCATGCGGGGTACATGGAAGTGCGGGCTATCTGAATTTTTTTTTACACAAAACACTATTTTTGCGGGGTATATGCGTCTGCGGGTTATATGCGTATGCGGGCTATATGCGGGAAAATACGGCAATGCCTTCCGGTGCACGATTTTAGTGTCATTTTAACATGCATCTGTGCAGTGTTTACATCCTCAGCAATGGTGCATACGCTACAATGCCTTGAGCGCACGTGCACTGGGATGGCGGCATCTCAACGCATGACAAAACGGGATGGTTAAAATCGCGCGCCACAACAGAACCGCTTGATGGCCAAAGCGACTACGGTCTCAGACGCCGAGGTCGGATTTGGAGCAGCGTTCCCGCTAACCGCCAGGCCACGCAAGTCCTCCGCAGATCACCTGAAGTTCTCGCCGCCCTCGGCACACTCGTGCTGGATTCCCCCGGGCAGGGCGCGCGCCGTCTCGCCCAGGTGCGCCAACTCCAGCGCCTCCCACACCTCGGCGTCCGAGTGGTGGCCAAACGGATCGAGGTTGTCTCGCAGGGAGCCCCCGAACAGCACGGGATCCTGGCCACGGGAGTTTTGAGTTTCCAGGTTTGTTTTGTTCAAGCAGGTGGGAACTCGAGAGACAGCGATAGTTCTCAATTGCAAGTGACCCAGGTCACCAGAAATGGCAAAAGCAATTTCGTAAAAACCAGTAGAACAACAAAGCAATGAAAAATCCAAGCAAAATAAGCGAATTGAAATTTGAGCAAAATTGTGTCTTGTTTAAATTGTATCTTACATCTTTACATGGCTTGCCATTATAAATCACCGAGCACTTTTTGTAGACACATCCAATTTGTGCAATGGTCCTTCTATGTTATAAAATTCGGCTGTTTTTCTACATCCCAAGTGTGTTTTTTCTCAGTAAAGCACTTTTTTTTTCAATCATTTATTTCTGGTAACAGCAGGCTGTCTGCTTTTTTATCTGATTTAATGTCACACTTATCAAAATGTCCCCTAAAATTTGTGTTTAAAAATAGTATTTGACAATTGTATTCAGCACCCTTGAAACACTCCAGATAAGAGCTCTTTCATAGGCTTAGGTTTAAACAAAAAAAGCATTGCAAATGTAACAATGCTGCCCTCTATTGGTTAATCTTAAAATCTTTAAATCCTTCACACGAACACCTCAAGCATGTTTCATCCAAAACATCAATTTGCATTCTATAGCACTGACGCAGTTACATTCTCTAGACCAGATTAATCCTCACAAGGTGATGTTTCTGCATATTCGAGTATGTACCTCTTTTTAACACGTACGCTTTCGCGACCAATATTATTAATAATAAACGTTTTTGGGTTAGATCGCGTTATTTATAAATGTGTCGAAGAGTGAATCTTCAAGACACTGGTGGGCTAAAGTAGTGATCTATTTGTATTTTGTCAACGTGACACTTTTTTGCTGATTGGCCGTGTCGGGTGGTGGAGGGTTACGACACATTTATAAATAACGCCATCTAACCCAAAAACGTTTATTATGAATATGTACCTCTTTATCTGCCTTATTTTGCCTTTGCAACAAAAACACTAAGATTCCCTCCACTTTGACTGCCTCAATGCAATATTAAACGTCTCTATTGTATGTGATGTTAGGGTCACCAAATATGGCGATGAGCATCAGAATAGGGACTCCACCGCATCTAGAACGTCTATGGCAATAGCCCAGGCTTGTGCAAATGTTAGACTGTGTGAAGAGTCAGGGCAAGTAGTGCATGGAGTCAATGCTGTGATAATGCATTCAACATTCCGCTACAAGGAAGCATGGTTAACCCTTTCCCGTTCTGATGACGTTCCAATGACGTACATGTACGCACCAAAACGAAACCGGAAGAAAAACTAAAATATAATAACTTTATCGGTACCGAGGCTCCTACAAGGTCATGCAGGGGGGGGAGGGGGGCACGTGGCACAGTTTGCCGAGTGCGGTCGTGTCGCGACAATTCTCTCTGGTGAGTATAAACAATGGCGCTATGCCTCCCAAAATATAATTAATGCTGAGCCGCTTGCATGTGCCGAGATTCAGAGATGAACGGGACCCACCCTTCCACTTGCAGACCTCTTGTAAATGGGAAAGGGTCTGTTGAGATATACTGTACATGGAGTAATAATATCCTGTTACATTGTTTAACAAACTGTAGATAGAAAAAGAAGTGGCATCTGATAATAACAAAAATACTTTGCAACTAATCACAAAACAACAGTTTTGTGATATTGCATTTGCAGTGGTGCACAAGCACAAATAACAACAACAACAAACACATGCGTCAATAAAACCACCTTAAAAAGAATATAGGTGACATTCCGGGCAATGGCCTTTCTTAACGACACACAAATAAAAAACTTGGCATTCGATTCCTTTCCTCCAATTTTTCGCTAAATCATTGCGGATGTTTCTAACGCCAACAATGAGGTCAAGTGCCATGGCCAACGTGTGTCGGCCTTTTCATCAAGACGTAAATATTTTTTGTTACAACAACAAACAAGAAAAAAAACCGACACATTTCACTATTTCGCCCGTGGTGTTCGTGCGAGCTCGGTGCCGCGGCCTGCCTGCGGGATGATGGTGATGCGCGACCGCAGGTCATGAAGGCCGATGCGCGAAATGTCCACGCCGTCGATCGCGATGGCTCCGCTGGCCGCTTCGACCATGCGCAAGAGGCAGAGCGTCAACGACGACTTCCCCGCGCCCGTTCGGCCCACGATGCCCACCTGCAGCAACAACCATCAACGGCTACTGCCACTCGAGTGGAAATGGCCTGTGCGGTCGATTAAGTCTCGAACTCTGACATTTGTTTACGCAGGAAAGCCTCGCCAAGTTGCAAGACTCTTTTTAGCAGAGTCCTGAGACCATGCAAAATTTCTACAGGTTTTGCTAATCCAGGATGCCTGCACACAAGATACATTTTCTTTTTGTAATATCACATGATCTTTTTCGTCTACTGTGAAACAGACAGAACACTCCTGCATTTGATCATTCGGATGTTTTGCCAATTCAAATGTATTATTGTGATGAGGGTGGTAATTAGACTCAGAATCTTTATTTGGACTGCAGGAGGAATCCACTGAGCTATGAAGCTCTTTTTCACAGATGTCCAATAGGGGCGCGGGTCAGAACGTTACAATTGTAACGGTGGTCGTGGTGGTGATACTCGTAGTGGAGATGATGAATACAGTATTTGTGAATGTGATTATGGTGGCAATAGTGCTGGTAATGGTGATGATGTTAATGGAGGTAATATTAATGACGGTAATTGTGATAATGGTGGTTAACATGGCAGTGCTGTTGCTGCTACTGATATGGATGATGATGTTGTATTGATGGTGGTTGTGTAATGACAGCTGAGATGATGATGGTTATGGTTATGAATGTTAAAATCGTGTTAACAATAATATTGGTGGTGGTTGCGGAAGAGATGACGGTAGTGATGATGATGGTGATGGTGGTGGCGCAAACAGTTTTAAATATGACAAAATGCTTTTTCGAAGTGCTTTGTAAGTGAATGTGCATAACTGTGCGTGAAAATGTCAGATTTGTAAAAAATTAGAGCTCCACCACGCTCAAATACTGTACTGGGTATGGACGTTTAATTGGTTCAGGGCCGAAATGTGACAGGTCGGATATGTGACGTTGCACTGAAGTCAAAGTGGTTTACGAACAATGTTGCTAGCAATGACGAGCACAGAGATGGCAACTGGTGGTACCTTTTCTCCACCCTTGATGTCACAGCTGATGTTGCGTAGAACCAGATCGAGTCCCTCGCGGTAGCGTGTGCTGTAGTCGCGGAACTCCACATGGCCCTGTGATGGCCAGTCCGCGGGCGGTCGGCACGACTCCACCTCCCAATCCGCCTGCACATGCCAAAAAGATTCCCTGGCACTCTACGATGCTCAACTTGTGTTGTCCGAAGGTCAAATGAGCACCCGCCACCCAAGTTGAAACACAATTCTCTGTAGGTGGCATATTGGAAAATTGCCTCAGAAGAGGACGCCGCAGAACTATTTAAGAACTCACTTTTTCTTGTGCATCTCTTAACATTATCCGATACAGTCACCATTTAAGCATTCACCTCCCGGCCCTTACCAAATCCTAGCGACCAGCTACTGCATAGCATGCAGCCAATATGGATTTCATGTCAGAATATGGCCCTGGAAAATGATGTCAAAAAACTACTTCTGAAGTTCTAGATTTGAAGCTTTCGTGACTGCAAGGATTCATACTCTTAGGTTTTTTCGGTAAAGTCACGTAGGTAAAAATAAATAAATAGTAAAAAATAAATAATAATAGTAAATAATAAAATTAATAGAAATAATATTATAAACCTAAGAGTATACTTCTGAAGTCCCTTAAATAGGCCTCTTCATCCATACGAGGGGCATTTTATATGCCATGCTAGGATTATTCGTCACATGTCAAATATGGAACAGCCACATTTAATATTGTGTTTTTTGTGCAGTCATTAGTGACCGGGTTTAGACCATCAACTTGCTACAATTTAAAACTTGGGTTTCGCCGCAGGCAACTAAAACCAAGATTTAATCCTAGCTTCTCAGTGGTGCAGGTTCAGCACCCTGGCCCCAAAACCAACTGGCCACCTCAAATTAAATGTTCTCATAAACGAAATTTCAACTTTTGTCAGACATCCCCTAATATAACTACGAAACAAATACTGTTTGTATTATTGTGTTGTGTGCTTCTTTAAGGATTTCATGTAAAGCCTTCGCTGAACCAACCTCAGGCGGAGTCTCGGAGTACTCCTTGACTCTCTCCACAGCCACGATGTTTGACTCCACCTCTGACGACATCCGGACCATCCAGCTCATCACCACCGTCACCTGCAGGGAGCATGAAGGAGATGCATGTGCGTGAGTGAGGACTGCTGTCATATACAACAAACAATGTTGGGATGGTTATTTATATACACGCGATCAGTGAGTGAGTTCTGATATCGGAAAGTTTTAGAAGTAACGTAATGTAATATAGAAATGTATTTGATATTAAATATTGACTTAAAGCTTTCGTGACTGCAGGAATTTATACTCTTTGGGTCTTTCGGTAAAGTCACGTATTTGATATTCCCAAAGTAATGTAATCCACTCAACATGTATGTTTTGGAGTCAATACTATGATTCTTAATTGTCTTTTTGGTTAGGCCAAATAATCATCTGGCAAAATATGTATCTGCTCTCTAGCATTGGTTGTGAGGATTGTTCTTCAATGAACCACTGAGCCATAACAATAATTATTGACTCGTTATGCGCTTGTAGACCACGTGACAACTTCATCTGTTTGACTATGTCGCGTGGTGGAGGGCCTCATGACAGAAACTTGGACAATATGAATAATAATTTAATTCAATGTATTACTCTTGAATACATATACAACCTTGATTTAAACTTTAGTGACCTCAGGAATCCATACTCTTTGGTTCTTTCGGTAAAGTCACGTAGGTAGAAAAATAAAAGATCACGACATTTCGATCGCAACACAAGCAATCGTCATCAGGTGGGACAACCACAGCAGTTTTTTCTTGCTGTGGTATACATATACAATATTAACAATAATCATTGTTTTCATATATAGCATCTATCATGCAAACTGCATCTCTCAACACTGCACTCATACGGAGTACCTATACATCTGGGGAAAAACACGCATATAAGGGGGCAACACTCTATACCATACAAATGGAACAGATGGAGATTAGTCCACACATGCTGTACTGCCTTCTCCTGGCAAACCGGGGTATGGCACCTCCTTAACGCCCACAGGAAGGGATTTTTGCAACATCAGCACGATCCACCAACCCTCGCTGCCTCCATAGTGCTGGCTTACAGGTCAAGTGCATCGGCACCACCGCCTGATACAGGGGAGATCTCTGGAATGAGGTGAGAGTGCAGTGGTGGGCATGTCCACCTGCATGGCATAAGAAACGGAGAGGCCCACGGTCCCCGCCTTCAGGGAGTCGCGGCTCAGCACAGCAAACATAGCGGCGAACAGCACCACACAGGCGCCCAGGAACTCTAGCCACACGGCCAGCCACCTGCACAGACACACAGACACACAATTACATACAAACACACGAACACCATCACATAAACATACAGAAAAACACAGACACCAATTCTAGATTTGCAGTTTTCATGACTGCAAGGAGTCATACTCTTTGGTTTTTTCGGTAAAGTCACGTAGGTAAAAAATTAAAATTAATTTAATAAAATTTTACCTACGTGACTTTACCGAAAAAACCAAAGAGTATAAACACAGACACCATTAAATAAAACACATGCACACCATCATACAGAAACATGGGCACACACAGAGATACTGATATGTCCTGCACATACATGTGCTATGCCACTGGCTGCATGAATCAAACTGTAGCCCTGCAATTTCTTCCTCAAGCCACTGCTGGCAGATGGGCTTCCACTCGAGGGACTCTAAGAGTGTTTTTGGCCTACTCTTCCACACTTTACCCCACCACACTGTGACCTGCCGGTCAATTAACTTACGGTGTACCCATTTATTCTGCAGGGTGGATAGAGGCGGGGGAATTAAGAAACTCGTCCAATTGTTTCAAATGCCACGCCGGGAGATCGAATGGAATCGGTGACCTCTAGATGGCGAGCACCACAAATGAACCACAAAACCTGCTGATCTCATCAAGGAGCATAAACCATCACGCAAACTCTGGTTATCCTCACAGCGAATTTTGGCTAGCCATCGAACAAAGACGGTCACCCCATCGTGCGCTTTCAGAAGCGCTTCTGCGGCCGTCTGGAATGCTCTTCCTTCCGATATTAGAAAGCCACTGGAGCTATGCACTTTCAAAGTCACCTAGATTGAAAACTAATTTCTTTACAACTGCTTTTATGTGTTTAGCTTTTTGTCTTCTTTAGCTCTTTCGGTAAAGTCATGTAGACAGAAAAATAAAAAAATAAAAGTGAATAAAATAAAAATAATAAAAAACACTAATATAGACTGTAGCCTGGTTCTTAATCGGAGTGAGTGTACTGGCAGCCTATAATGTAGACTATAGCAATCGTTATTAAGCTGGGTGAGTGTACTGACAGTCTATAATGTAGACTGTTGCCTGGTTCTTAACCTTGGTGAGCATTCTGGCAGTCGAAAATGTAGACTGTAGCCTGGTTTTTAAGCTGGTGAGTGTATATTGGCAGTCTATGATGTAGACTGTAGCAATGCTTATTAAACTGAGTGAGCATATTGGTAGTTTATAATCTAGACTGTAGCCTGGTTCTTAACCTGAGTGAGCTTACTGGCAGTCTATAATGTAGTATTATTCTTGGTTCTTTCAGTAATTTAAATATAATAAAAATGAAAATAATAAAAACAAAAACCACGACGTTTCGATCGCAACACAAGCGGTCGTCATCAGGTGTGTCAGCAGCATGGGCGGGGCAGCTGATGTTAATGTATCAGAAAGCAACGCCAACGAAGTGGGTCTACACCAATCAAAGGGCTGCCAGGCAATCATTGCACCTCACTCCACACACCCACACTGCTGACGGTGGAGGTTGACAAGAAAACACAAATGAAGTCATGACCCAAAGTGGTTGATGACATCTTTCCAATGATTTCTGAGTTTATAACCATCCTCTACGTTGAAATGTTGTCTGTGTCTGTATATATGGATGGCTTCATGAACTAATCTTTGTTGATAGCCAGTAGGCTTGCAAAGTACCATCGTCATAGAGAAATCTATTTCGTGTGAACCAGCCACATTAAAATAATGATCAGCCATGGCAGAAGCATTGGTCCTACCATGTTTCAAATCTGCCTTATGCTCACAAATCAGGCTACAGTCTATATTAGTGTTTTTGGTTTTTTTATTATTCGTATTTTATTTTTATAATTTTTCTATTTATTCACTTTATTTTGTATTATTATTTTCTATCTACATGACTTTCCTGAAAGAACCACTGCAGTCACGAAAGTTTAAAGTAAAAATGTTGCTTTTAGTCCTTTCCCCGCACCTCTGAGTAGCATGGTTTGGCTACGCACGATGCGAAAGTAGTCCAACATACATCGTGGCACTGACCATTCCACCGGTTAACGAACGCATCGTGATGCGGAGCGATTTCCATCCGAGCGGCGTTTCCCGCAGTAACGCGGGCGCGGGCCGCGTCTGTACCTCTGGCTGACGATGCTGGGGTAGCACGTGCGCTGCAAGGCGTCGACAGCGCGGTCTCCCGCGATGACGAAGCGTTCCTCCTGGCGGAAAGCGCGCAGCGTCGCCGCTCCCGCCACGCTCTCGCCGAAGTGCGAGAAGACGGGCGAGCGCACCGTCGACTCCAGCCGCTTCAGCTGCCTCGACGTCGCCACGTAGAACCTCTGCCGATGGGCGGTGGGGGGGGGCAGTTTCAGGTTCAGCAGTTCTACTGATGGATTCTTTTTTTTCCGCCCGCGGACGACTGCTTGTGTTGCGATCGATACGTCGTGATTTATTTTATATTTTTTTCTACCTACGTGACTTTACCGAAAGAACGAAAGAGTATAGTTTCAAGTTTGTTTCGTTTTAACTGAAGCGAGAACTCAAGGGGGCTAGGATAGTCTAATTTGCTAGTAAGTGACCTAGGGCACCCAAAATGAGAAAAGGAATAATGTTAAAAGAAGTACAATAATGAAGCGAATAGATAGATGTGAACGAAAATACGACTGAATTACATAAGAAATCAAAAACAGTGCACGAACACGAATCGATATTGAAACAAACTGACTTCGAGGAATAAATGTTGTCATGGACAAATAACTTTAAAAAAATGAACCCGTAAAAACAGAGTTTTTCACTAGAAATCCTTTATATGCGTGGCGGCTAGAGTCCTCTCGTCCTCTGGCTTGAGATGGCTGCCCCCTATGGGTCAGATGATTGCCTGCCACCATTAAGCAATTGGTAATTAAATATAATTAATTTTTTCCTATAAAGTGTAAAATTTTGGGAAAAAAATTACGAAAATAAATTGTCACGCACAACGAGTCTGTGTGCAAAATATCAGCTCGATTGGATCACGGGAAGTGGGTTAAAAAACGACCGAAAGATTTGCACGGTCGTAAGCGCGCAAGCAAGCAAGTGAACTTAATATAAAGGATTTAAAAATATTCAGAAACATCGACATCAATTGTGAGAGAAATTATCATAATTAATTTACAGATTAGCATCAAATTGTGATTTAGATAGGACAGTAAAATAAGCCATTTTTTAAGCAATGAAATTCTAGGGAAAGGCTCTAAGATTGGCAGGAGTTTAGAGGAGCAGGCAGTGGTGCATTCAGTTACATTGCCACATCACCTGTGCCAGGCTACGTGCACTTTGAGACCACATGGCCATGGTGAAGATTCATCACAGATTGGTGCATCATTCCAGCCATTTCTTTGATGAGTGACATGTTTCTACTGCCGCAAGAAGATTGTAAGTGAATATCATTTATACATTTCTCTACTACTGTGGTATATGAAATATTAGTATTGGTTTGACACAGTCAGTTAGGTTTTTGATGGCCAAACCGACCCATTTTGCGCTGAGAAACTGCCCTTAATAGGTGCTTGCTAACAGCACATGCCATTATAATATATGTATATAAGGCTTGAGTGGCAATTTGTATCCTAACCTGGCCTAGACTTCCCCTAGGGTGACTGAAACCTGGATTGAAATCATTGTCTCACTCAGCCCAAATGTCAAAGCGATTTTCTGCTCCAAAGAGCATTGAGGCTTTGGGTATTCCTATTCTCGGGTTTTTTCGGTAAAGTCACGCAGGTAAAAAATAAAAATTAATAAAAGTAAAATAAGTCTTTTATTTTTTATTTTACTTTTATTAATTTTATTTTTTTACCTACGTGACTTCACCGAAAAAAAACCCAAGAATATGAATCCTTGCAGTCACGAAAGCTTCAAATCTAGAATTTGGGTATTCCTGTTTACAGTCCTGAGCCAGTGGTGGAAATTCTACATTGCTACGGTGGGGGCAAGTCGATCCAGAGGGCGACCACCGTCGACTTCTGCACAAAGTGAGAGGTAACAATTTGAGGAGGGGGAAGTGACGAGGGCAGGACGGAGGGAACGTGAAAGAGGTGCTGAGATGGATTTTGTTTGGATTGCTTTCGCTGAGGACTCGGGGCACACCTGCACAAAGAAGTAGATGACGACGAGGGGAATGGCAGCGACCACGAAGACCGGCGTGCTGATGACGATGATGAGGATCGTGAAGATTGAGTTGCACAGGGCTCCCAGGAACATGAGGAACGTGGGCGGCAGCACCTCGTCTATCATGAACACGTCCTGCGTGCGGCACAACACCATCACCACCACGACACTCTACCGTCAGTCACCGCATAGAAGCATCGTACGACAATGGGCTTTGTTGTTCAGCCATGTGCTGCCCATAATGTAGGCCTGTAAGCCCTATAACAACCTGCCCTGTATGCACGTGGCCACCCATCTAAGCACAATCCAGACTCAAACCTGCTTAGTTCTGAGCAGGCAATACCAACCACATTATGAGTGATCTAGTCACAGGGGAATAAAATAATTAAGCTATAATTTACTTAAAAACTCATAGCAATTCTATGTTTTTAATTTGCAAATGCTACATCTGCGCTAATGGTTCAATTGTTACATGCCTACCTTCCATCCCACCCAGTATGAGACATCCTAGAGTCATGTCATCACAGCCAGCCCAACTAAAATGTCAAACCTCAATCACTCAACAAATAATTTCAGGTAGACTCAGTGTGTCGGAAGGAGTGGTCCAATACCAGGATCAACTATAGGCGGCAAATGCCCAGCGCCAAAGTTCTGTGCAGTTTTTCCAGGTTCTCCGGTTTCCTCCCAGAGATTTAAAAACATAACTGATATTGGCCAAACATCGTAATGCTGAAAAATTACCTGCAGCTCCCTGAGTGGGGATTACACGCAGCAGCATCGCAACTTACTGTGAAAACTTGGCAGGGACTCTCCTGAAAAAGAGCTTTGAGGATACAGCTAGGCTATCCTGGGTAAATAAGTTTTACAATAATAATAATCAGTAAACTCCATCCGCTTATCTTAGCCTCCGCACCTTCGAGAAGCGGTTGATGATTCGTCCCAGAGGCGTGACATCGTAGAAGGAGATCGGCGAGTGCAGCTTGTTATCGAGCAGTGCAAGGTGCAGGGTGCCGGCAGCCCGAAGACACCCTTTGAAGACCATCAGTACCATCACCAAGGACAGCACACCTGGCGTGTGGAGGAGGGTGGAAATGTTGATACATCGTAATGATCTCCTTTATTTCGCCAGGGTAGCCGGTGACAGACTAAAAAGGGCATTGGTGGTGCAGTGCTCTGTACACTGTGTTATCTGAAACCTCGACTCTCACATTTGGTGGTATGGTTTTGTCCTCGTTCATAAATGTCTTGCATGGTCAGTGTAAGGTTCCATTTGATTTATTTAATCTTTACATCCGGGTGCTGGGATGTGCCCCATCGTATCTGACCTCAGAAGCTAAGCAGGATTGAGGATGGATAGTGTTTGGACGAGCAACCACCGTGCAGTCAACTAATGTTTGTCGCCTGCTCCGGAGCCACATTGAGGGCAGTGCAGAAAACCCCATTGTTGTACTGTATTATGGTACCAGATCTATGCTCCACGCCTTTACCATCAGTTTTCTACGTGTGTTGTCTAGCAACACTTTTGACGACTTTGGGTCAATCTAGTAACATCTGGTAACTTTCCAGGTTCGTTTGGTGACTTTCCACTGCAGGGAGTTGGAAACTGGTGGAAACTCTCCCATCGCCTCTTTCAGATCAGACTCAGAATATGTATTTATACTGGAGGAATCCAATAAGCTATAAAGCTGTTTATCACAGATGCCCAGTTATTTTTTACAGATTTTCCCGAGCTCCTATAACCTTGCTTAACTCAAAAAACGTGTTACAACTTCTATCCGTTGCAAGTTTTAAGTTGCTGTTCTTCGCTGGGCCCGCTTGACGCCTATGGGCCTTTGGCGCCGGTATTTAACAATCGTGCGGACGTATTCATCAATTCTGTCTGCGAGCGCTCACTCTGCACGGCGCCCAGCGCGGAGTAGACGCCGAGGCGGTAGCCCGTGTTGCGCTGCGTGCCGTTGACAACAGGCTCGCCGGCCCACTCGCTCAGCCACACGTTGGTGCCCAGCATGGTGGTGTAGTTGGCGCAGAAGAGGAGCAGTGCGAGCGTGGATAACGGCGCGCCGACCGCACGCAAGTAGTGGAGCACCACGGAGAGCTTCATCTGCACGACGCACGGTGGGTGACGGCGGACGGGGCGGTTACACGATCAGGAATAATACTCTACATAACAGCATTCTTTTGTCTTCTTGGTTCTTTCGGTAAAGTCACGTAGAATGGAAATAATAAAATAATAAAAATAAAACATAATAAAATAATTCTCACGACGTTTCGGCCATAACGCAAGCAGCCGTCCTCAGGTGAAGAACAGGTCTGTCGACACTCGCATTCAGACTCTGTCTTCTCGACAGACCTGTTCTCCACCTGAGGACGGCTGCTTGCGTTGTGGCCGAAACATCGTGAGAATTATTTTATTATGTATATTTTCATTATTTTATTAATTCCATTCTACGTGATTTTACCGAAAGAACCAAGAAGATGAATCCCTGCAGTCACGAAAGCTTTAAATCGAAGCATTCTTTTGCATTTAATATACATGATATATTACATGACAGCATTCTATTGTGTTTAATATACATGATATACTACATTATACCATTCTATTGCATTTAATATGCAGGATGTACTACATCTCTTCCCAAGTGTCTGGCCAGGGTCTCAGCGGTGAACCCTGCATGGACCTCCATCTGCCCCCGATAACGGAAGCCGTCACGTACATGTCCCGTCTCCATGCTCTCGGGCTGCATGAGGGTGCTTCCGGGCTGCGGCGTCTCCTTTTGTCCCCGCGTCTCCGTGCCCACACCCTGGGTCGTACTAGAGCCACTTGCTTCTTGCGGCCCCAACTGCCTCAGCGAGATGTGGTGAATAGACAGACGCTTTCCTCCATCGCCCTCTCTCATAGATTGCTTGCTGATCTGCCTTTGGGTCAGCAATGCACAAAACATGAATTCATTCGTTCATCTGTTCACAAAGGAATCGTAATATGTAAATTAAGCATGAGGTCATTACGGCCAATACTGTTAATGTCAACACACCTTTCCAACACTTATGGCAGCCTCTTTCTCTTTATACAACACATGAATGAATAAGACTCATTTCCCAAGGATGCCAATGCCCCACTAATCATCTTGAAATATGGTTGCTCATATCTCACTTCGAGAGGATTGTACGGTTGTTGGCAGCACTTTATAAGTATGATTATGATGAGCATACTGGGGTTAGGTGTCCGACAGATTCGTCACCACAGCATGCATTGGCCATGAAGTCGCGTTGTTGGGTGTGGTGTACCTCATGAGCGTCCTCCGAGGTTCTGCCATCACCGGCTCCATGTCGGCGGTGTTCGAACACGTGCTGAGCACCTCATCCGGCCCCGGGGATCGCAGGTCAATGATGACTGCAGGGAGGCGACATAAGGACCCTCTTCAGATGAAGAGCCTCGTGCCGAACGTGTGGGTGTTCAACATGTCATGTCACGTAGGTAAAAAATAAAAATTAATAAAAGTCAAATAAAATAAAATAAAACTTGTCTCGTTGTCTGTTAAAAACTCTAACAGATAGGTGGAATTCCTCCCCGTAGAGGGTATTAATTCTAGATTTGAAGCTTTCGTGACTGCAAAGATTCATATTCTTAGGTTTTTTCGGTAAAGTCACGTAGGTAAAAAATTCAAATTAATAAAAGTAAAATTAAAATAAAAAATAAAATAAAACTTGTCTCGTTGTCTGTTAAAAACTCTAACAGATAGGTGGAATTCCTCCCCGTAGAGGGTATTAAAAATAAAAAAACCTAAAAATATGAATCCTTGCAGACACTAAAGCTTCAAATCTAGAATAAATACCCTCTACGGGGAGGAATTCCACCTATCTGTTAGAGTTTTTAACAGACAACGAGACAAGTTTTATTTTATTTTAATTTTTATTTTACTTTTATTAATTTTAATTTTTTACCTACGTGACTTTACCGAAAAAACCTAAGAATATACGTCATGTCAGTCGTCGGCGATCTTTATATTTACGTATGGGTGCATGAGATGATTCAGAAGACCGAACTTGGAAGCACAAACCCGCCGCCCGCAGAACGTACATGGACACACAGCCAGAGGTGGTTTGGTGGCATGAGTTTGATAAGACATGTAGGTGCAGCCCCATGGCTTGCAGCATATGGCAATGCAAGGCGTTGGCGAGGGACTCGGGGGTCAGAGCAGCACCACTGAGATACGAGGTTCGAATCCAGATTTCAGTCACCCATGAAATGAATGTGGTCCTCAAGTGTAGTGAGATAATGGTCTCAGCCTGGTCACAGGTTACTGCACAAAAAAACACATAAACTTTGAAATTGAATACAGTCATACCTCGGTATACGACCACTTTGGAATACGTCGAATTAGGCACACGTCGTGTTTTGACGAGAAAAAAATGTCTTGGGATACGACGTCTTGCTTGGGATACGACGCGCTTGCTAGAACTTGTATGGGTCGGGATGAGTCACCGCGTACCCACGTAGACCCCGCTCACGACTGAAACAAAGCGCCGCTCCTCAGTCTGCCTGTAGATCTCGTTCAGTGCACAACCCTTGCTATAACTCTCTGTGAATGTTCACGTGTTTTTTGTCATTGTAACTCCTCTCAGCAAGGTAAAATAATGTTACATTTTATTTATATTTCAATTTATTTTTATTTATTTATACATTTATTTTTATTTATGTATGCATTTTTGTAATAAGTAGTGTCTGAATTATTTTATACAACCCCATTAATGTATAATATGCCATATAAAATATCATTTCTTATACTCTGGAACAGATTATTTCCTTTCCCTTTATTTCTTATGGGAAAAATGCGTTTGGCATATGTCATTTTCGGTATAAGTCCTACCTTCTGGAACAAATTAACGACGTATACCGAGGTACCACTGTATTTCAGATTGACTTCAAATAAAACATACGTTTCTACAGCAGTACGTGAGGGGGAAGGGCAGTGCCCTTCGTGTGAATTAGAGGGCACTGAAGGAACCTCAGAAGTACTGTAAATGATATCTGCTTGCACAAGGCCATTTCATTCTTCAACACGTGGTGATGAAGTGTCATGTCAGTCAACAAAGCAAAACACCCATTCATAAATTGGTCAAATATTACAATGGAGGACCTTCCTGAACAAACATTCAGAAAACTCAGTCAGATAAATAATAGGCAATGTTATTTTCGACATACACATGTGGTTATTCACTAAATTCCACCTGGCCTAGTTCTCAAAAGTAATAAATATATTTATATATAATAGATAGATGACATGCACTGATCCCAGCTTTCCACAGCATGACTCATTCAGAGGTTCAATTCCTAGTCAGAAATCTACTCGGCCTATCATTTCTCAGGGATCAATAAAATGTTGTGGGAATTCACCTGTGGTCATCCTATGAATATAGACTTGTCATAACTGGCTTAGGGGTCACTGATTATGTGTGTTGAGCACTCGCCTATTGCCTCTCAGGGAGACACTTTTGACTTTTAACTGCCGATTATCGTTTCGGGCCTTGCCGTCTTACCGTGAGGCCCATCGTCCTGACTGACCGGGGAGTCCTCTCCTGCGCCATCTCCCTGTCCGTGGTTCCTCAGCAGCTCCGAGAAGGCCTCGCCGCTGAGCATGAGCTCCGAGTACGAGCCGCTCTCGGAGACGCGGCCCGCTGTGAGGACCACGATGCGGTCAACGTGGGGCAGGAAGCTCAGGCCGTGAGTCACCAGCACCCGCGTCTGGTGGAAATTAACAAAGGGCAGAGAGAAGTGAGGGCATCTACTTCATTAGACCTCCTTTGCCAGTACCAAAATATAATAATAGGGGTTTTCCCCTTTTTTTTCTGGCTACAAAAATTAAACCTTTTTACAAGGATTCATGTCTGCATTAACCACAATACTTGCAGTCAAAATGCAAACAAAAAACACACTCTGATAATATATGCATTGTCCTTGAAACGGATTGGTCCACACGAGAGACAACATTCTTTTGAGCAATTGGTGCTCGACCAGATTACGCCAAAAGGCGTTTCAGTTTTGTTGCCAGAAAAAAGGGGAAAAACCCTATTATTAGAGGTGAGGGGAGTTGGGTGACGGATCACATCTGACTTGTTATGGAACGGCTCTGTCACTCATCTGGTGCAGGAGACATTGAAGAAGCTTGTTTTATTTTCCTGTGCCAAAGCCTCTTTAATTAAACAACTATTATTACTATACAAAACACATATTTGGCTGAAGTTAAAACACTGTTGTCATACCTGGGGAGCAGCACTCAGTTCCGACCTCGCTTTACTTGATATTGTTCAATATAAAGCAGTCAGGTTAATTGCCGATGCGATGCATTACGCAATCCATGCGTGTGCATGATGTCCCCTGGCCCGTGAACTGTGGCGTGTGCGGCGTGCGACGGGAGCGCCGTGCGTGCACGCACTTGGCCTGCCAGCAGTCCCGAGGGCCCGATGACACGCTCGAAGATGTGCTTCCCCACGTGTGCATCCACTGCCGACAGAGGGTCGTCCAGCAGGAAGACGGACGCCTTGCTGTAGATGGCACGAGCCAGGGACACACGCTGGCGCTGGCCCCCAGACAGGTTGATGCCCTGTAGGACCGATGAGTCAAGCCATGAAATGAAACAGTCATTGCCTGCCTCACAATTTGACTGCCAATTATGGGGGCACCACCACCCCCACCGGCCCCCACCATGGGGAGCCCAGGGCAGTCACCGCCCCCCCGCCCGAACCTTGGTAAGGCAGTGAATTAAACTGATGATGATAGTAAAGATGCTGAGGTTAATGATCATCTCAATGATGATTATGCTGCTGTTGATGACATAATATTGATAATGAAGACAGCGATGTTAATGACAATGGCAGTTATTATTACACCATTGATGATTGTATTTGACCTGGACACTGCTGCCATTTCTGATTTTTTAACTGTTGCTGATGATGATAATGCTGATAATGCCATGAATGATGACGGCGTTACTGCTGCTGCTAATGATGATTAATATGACACTGATGATCTTGATAATGCTGAAGTACCCGTCGAGGACGCTTGACAACGGAGTTGAGGCACACGTATATTTATTTAACAAGTTGCCAGTACAGGACAGCCCTAGAGGGGGTAGCGGCCCCCTCACCCGTATAACTCAGGGAATACCCCTAGCTATCCATAGCCTATCCCCTGAGTCCTCCACTAAGAGCTAGGGGAGGCTGTCTGGCCCGACACTGGTAATCGGGCTCGGTACCCGGAGTCCCAGAGCACTGGCTCTGGTTCACGGGACCACGCCACTGACTCGAGCCTGATCCCGTGGGGCCCTGATAAGGGCGGCGATCAGGGGGAGTCCAGGGCTCTAGCTACGACGTCTTCCGACTTCTTAGCTTAACTATAACATAACTGACTAAGCCCATATAACGACCCCTTTTTATACCCAACCCTCCTTGAGGGGTGGGGCCCCGGGGGATCGTAACGCCGAACCAGCCCCCCCCCAGGGTGTCTGGCTCGGACGTCGCAGAGGGCATCTCCCTGTGCACACACGTAGCCCCGCCCACTGTGTTTCTTTCCCATAGGCTGCCATGCATAACGGCCCTCTCTCCAACATCCCTACATCACTCCCCCCCGCATAGCTCGCAGCCGTCCCGGCTGCAACAATTTCAACAAATGAATCTTTACCCCTTGCCTCCCCCCGTGTGTGCCCCATTTTTTTCATTTAACAGAACGAGAATTGAACAACAACACTAACAATGCCCCTAAAGGGAGAACAAACCGACGCGCCCCCCCCCCCCGAATAAATACGAAATCCGTAGAGGCAAGATATGTACATTTCCCGGAACCCTCAGCGCACGCACAACACGCACACAAGACGCACACACACACACAGCCATAATACAACAACGCGCCAAGAGCGCCACACGAACGCAGCGTCCAGTAACAATAGCACACGAAAGTGTACCAGAAAACGCAAAAAAAATAAAAAAAAAATTTCTTCTTATTTTCGTTTCGTTTTCACTTCTTGTTCGCGTTCCAGTGTTTTTATAAGAGTCTGCGCATTTTAGCGCGCGTCCTTGCCGCAGGCCCGTCACAAGGGCCAACCTCAGATGGCGGACCATTCGGTGGCCGCTGTCCCATCCGAGGCGAGTCCGCAATTGGAGTGGCGGGACCCTCGGCATCCCCCGTGAGGGATGTGCGCGAGCCCGTCATTCCGGGAGAACCTGGGGGCGGGGCAACCGGCAAGACGTCAGGTGAGATCAACAGAGGCGGACCCTCCGGGTCGGTCGACCCCTCACATGCTTGGCCCTGCGCGTGTGGAGCAGAGTCCCGCACCGCAACGAAGGGTTTTAGTCTAGAGGGGTGAACGAACCACCGGCGCCTCCCCCACTTGATACGAACGCACTGCGGTCGCAAAACCTCGACCACCTCGACGGGGCCCCGCCATGGCCGTACCAGTTTCGAGGAGGTCGCAAGCGGTACCTGGGGACAGTGCAGCCATGCCCTGTCCCCTGGCTTCCACTGCAGCACGTGCGCGCGCGCGAGTCTGAGGCGCTCATTCGCCTTTTGGCGCATGCGGGAATTGAGCATGGCAGCATCCCGCGCCTCAGTTAGCTTTTGAAGGTTAAATTTAACGTGCTCGTCCAATTTAATTTTACCTAGAGGCGCGGGGATCTGCAGCTGTGCCCGAACAGGTGGGTCATGTTCGCGACCATACATGAGAAAGAAGGGTGAAAATCCCGTGGCAGCATGGGGGGCCAATCGATATGCTGCCAGGACCCCTTGAATTTGCAAGTCCCAATTGGTCTGTGACTCCGAAACCAGGTGCGACAACATAGACGTGATGGTACGATGCAGACGCTCGACCATCCCGTCAGTTTGTGGGTGATAGGGAGAGGTACGAATCTTCTTTGTACCTAGGAGATCACAGACTTGTTTGAGGAGGTTCCCGGAAAAATTTTTACCCTGGTCGGTCAGCAGCCGCTCCGGAGCACCTTTGTCCATGACGTAGCCTTGGACAAAGGCGTCCACGATGGCTGCTGCCGACTGATTTGCCAGGGGCCAGGCCATAGGCCAGCGTGTGAAGTATTCGACCCCTGTTAGCAAATATCTATTGCCCCTAGGGGTGGCGGGAAACGGCCCCAGGATATCCAACGCTACGAGTTCGTTCACCCTGGAGACTGTGATGGACTGCAACGGCGGGTTCGACTCCCGAGCTGGTGGTTTGCGTTGCGCACACCGGGGGCATGCTGCCAGGAGATCCGTGACATCCCGTGTCATGCCCGGCCAAAAAAAATCCAGCTGGAGCGAGGCGAGGGTCTTTTGGGTACCCAGGTGGAGGAGGCGCTCATGAGCAGCCCACACCACCTTACCCCGTAACCCCGCAGGAACTACCAGCCGGTGACGGTGGGATTTACCGTCCCAATGCATGAGCAAGCCCGCGTGTATTTCCCAATTGTCGGCATCACCCGTCCCACACCCCCTCTCCCTGGCGCGACGACGCAGCGCGAGGAGGGAGGCGTCCTCCATCTGGAGGCGTCCCCACTCAATCACAGGCAACCCAAGCAGGGAATCCCTTCCCTGTTTCCCGATCTCATCGGGGAGCGATGTGTCAACATCGGCGGCGGCCGCCAGGACTGGAACCGTCATGTCCCCAGCTGGCTTGCAACGCCCCGACCCCAGGAGGCATGCGCATTCGGAGGTGGTTGGCATGCGCGACAGAGCGTCCGCATTTGTGTGGCGAATGCCCTTACGATAGGTGGTGTCAAAATCGAAATCCTGGAGGACCTCCAGCCATCGGGACAATTGTCCCGATGGCTGTTGAACCTTCAGGGCGTACTGCAGTGCCGCATGATCCGTACGGACAGTGAAATGCTGACCGTACAGATATGGGCGGTACTGTTGGATGAAGAAAACAATTGCCAACAGTTCTCTACGGGTGACACAATATTTTTGCTCCGCTGGAGACAACACCCGACTGCCGTACGCAACCACCCGTTCCACGCCATCAACCACCTGGGAAAGCACGCCTCCGATACCTGTGTTGCTCGCGTCGGTGTCGAGCAAAAACGGCCTCGAAAAATCGGGGTAAGTCAAAGGAGGAGCCTTCACCAATGCATCCCGAAGGGAGCAGAAAGCTACTTCCTCATCCCGACCCCAGTGGAACCGAACCCCTTTTGATGTCAAAGCATGTAGGGGTTTGGCAATTGTAGCAAAATTAGCGACGAACCGTCGGTAATATGAAGCGAAGCCAATAAAACTCCTCACCTCCCCCACCGAGGTCGGAATTGGCCAGGAGCTGACACACTGCGTTTTGGCGGGATCGGTAGCAATACCCGAGCGCCCCACGATGTGCCCCAAATAACGCACTGACTCGCGAAACAAATAGCATTTTTGGGGCTTAAATTTCAAATTAGCAGCCCGCATCCTTTGGAAAACCGCCCGCAGCCTCTGGAGATGTTCGTCAAAGGTTCTTCCAAAAACAATTACGTCATCCAAATAAATCAGGCACGATTCCCATTGCAATCCAGCCAAAACCAATTCCATCAACCGCTGGAAGGTTGCCGGCGCTGAGTGTAAGCCCATCGGCAACCGGTTGAATTGGAACAGGCCGTGCGGTGTACGGAAAGCGGTTTTAGGCTTCGAATCATCGTCCAGAGGAAGCTGCCAGAATCCCGAAAGTAAATCTAGTGTGGAGAAGAATCGCGCTCCCGCCAAGGCGTCCAGCGATTCGTCCATCCGTGGGAGCGGGTATGCGTCGGCAACCGAAACCTTATTAAGGCGACGGAAATCTACGCAAAACCGCAACGAGCCATCCTGTTTCTTAACCAGGACAATCGGTGCTCCCCAAGGGCTGGTAGAGGGAGAGATAATGTCGGCGGCTAACATGTCATCGACAGCCGATTTGACATGGTCCTTTTCGGCGGGACTCAACCGAAAAGGATTTTGGCGAATAGGCGCGCTGTCACCCGTGTCAATATGGTGACGCAGCAGGTGAGTACAACCCAAATCGTATTTATTCCGACTGAAAACGTCGGAAAATTCCTTTAGCAGCGATCTAAGCCGTTGGCGCTCTAAATTGGACAGGTTCGTCGATCCCGCACAAAGCGCGTCGAGCCACCCTTCATCGCCGTCCGAATGCGGGTGCGTCCGAGCAGCAGTGTCAATGTGGTTCACGGCAGGTTCCTCGCAGGGCACCGGCGTCGCGTGAGCGAGCACAGTCCCTTGGGGAACCACTACTGTCTGCGACCCGACATTGAGGACCGCGATGAAGGGATCCTCGTCCCCCCTTACGATGGTCTGGGCCGGAATTAAATGAGGCCCATTAACCCCGGCCCTAGACGGCCCCAGCACAACACCCTGATCCCCAACACCCTTAGCGAAGGGCCTACGAAGTTTAAGAGGTACCAGCATTTGTGCCCCCGGCGGCACACGCACTGTTTTTACGACGAACGCCGGTACCGTCGCGAACGCCGTCCGAGTCGCTACAGGGGAAGGCAGGAACGCCATACGTCGCCCCGACGGAAGCTCAATGCATCCTTGGTCGATCAAAATACGAATTGGCATCCTGCCCAAGAAGTCCGTCCCCAGCAGGCACGGAACTGCCAGTGAGGAGGAGACAAAAATCGGCCCCGACAATTTGATGTCCCCGATAGAAATTTGCGCTCGAATCTGTCCCACGATGCCGAGAGAGCCCCCGTTAGCGGCATAGAAAGGGACATTAACCGGTAGCAAAGGACGGCTCTGCACCGGTAGAATATTGTAAATTAGTTCCGAAATAATTGTCGCCGATGCCCCTGTATCGACTATGATGCGTACCTCCACCCCATCAATGTAACCGACCACGGCCGACGATCCCGACGCCGCGGCCACCACGCGATGGGCCAACACGGACCACCGCTCGGGCTCGATTTGAGTCCCCGCAGTGATCCGCGCCGGTCCATCGCAGCGCCCCACCGGCCCCCCGTTCGTTACGGTGCGAGAGTGTGCGACAGGTGGGTGCGTTGGCCAAACATGTGAGGTGCCGCGACTCGCCGGATCATGGTGCTGGAGCTTGGGAGGAGGAAGAGGAGGGCCGGCGTCCTGTCGAGGCGTCGTCCCCCGCTGTCGAGGAGAACGGCACCCCGAGGCGACATGGCCCCGGATGCCGCAGTTGAAGCACCGCGGGAGCGCCGATGGAGACGATGGACGGTCGAAACGCCTCGGCCCGTCCCGACCCGGCCGCGCCCCCGTCGTCTGTTGCCGTCGATGGTCGACGGCATAAAGTTCTTCTGACGGAAGGGTGGCTGCAGCCACCGCACGCCCAGCCGATGCCCTGTTTGCCTTTCGCCGCTGCTGCAGAAGGTTGGCGTGGAGGAGTCGCGCAGCCTGGAGGGAGGTCATTTCTGCATCCCCTTGTGCGATGACGACGATGTCGAGGTCGTCCGCCAAGAGGAGGATCTTCTCCGCGACCATTGCGTCCACGCCGTCGTCGTCCATGCGGGGAAAGGCTGTTTTTGCCAGCGCCAGAAGACTTGTCCGGAAAGCCAGAGGCGACTCTTTTTCACCCCGCCTGCGATCGTAGAACTGCTGACGGCATTCGGCTGAAGGTCCATAGACCCCGGCCAGCAGCTGTAGCGCCATTGGTAGTGTAGCCCGCTTCTCTTTTGGCGCCGACGTGAGTGCGGCGAGCGCGTCCCCATCGAGGAGCGCCGGCAGCGCGCAAAGGGCCTCCTCGTCGGACCACCGCGCCATCTCCTGATGGGCGAGGAAGCGTCGCCGGAAGCCGCCCCAGTCACCCTCCGCACCGATGAATTCCTTCAGCGGGGGCAGCCTTTGGTGAAGCGCAGCGGTCGATGTGGACTCCCGCAGGTTGCTTTCACCTCCCTTTGGCGGTGCCTCGGCGCGACTGGCCGATGGCATCGCCTGTCGCGGCAGCGATGACGCATCCTTCGGCTGCGATGACGCTGCAGCCCCGGCGACGGCGATGTCGGAGCCGATGTCTAAGCTGGCCACGCCCCGAACAGCCGCGGCGTCCATGGCGGGAAATTCAAATTGTGAAGTCGCTGAAATGGCGGGAAAGTGCTCCGGCCGCCGGTTCTCCTCGCCCTGCGGTGGACCACCAGCCCCCAACCGCGTAATGCCTTCCAGTGTGGCGGCAGCGGCATAAAGTAGCTCCGCCAGCCGTTCGTGAGCCAGTCGTAGTGCATCTGGCTGCGGCCCCTCTCCATGCTGACGTCCCGGTGAGAAGGCGCCAGGCTCCGGCTGCACCCCATCTTGTTGCTCTGTCTCGGGCTCGGCGATCTCCGCGGCGTCCTCCTCTTGTGGTACCCTGGTCCGAGCTGTATGGCGCGTTTCCATTTTTACCACTTCTGACGCCAGATGAAGTACCCGTCGAGGACGCTTGACAACGGAGTTGAGGCACACGTATATTTATTTAACAAGTTGCCAGTACAGGACAGCCCTAGAGGGGGTAGCGGCCCCCTCACCCGTATAACTCAGGGAATACCCCTAGCTATCCATAGCCTATCCCCTGAGTCCTCCACTAAGAGCTAGGGGAGGCTGTCTGGCCCGACACTGGTAATCGGGCTCGGTACCCGGAGTCCCAGAGCACTGGCTCTGGTTCACGGGACCACGCCACTGGCTCGAGCCTGATCCCGTGGGGCCCTGATAAGGGCGGCGATCAGGGGGAGTCCAGGGCTCTAGCTACGACGTCTTCCGACTTCTTAGCTTAACTATAACATAACTGACTAAGCCCATATAACGACCCCTTTTTATACCCAACCCTCCTTGAGGGGTGGGGCCCCGGGGGATCGTAACGCCGAACCAGCCCCCCCCCAGGGTGTCTGGCTCGGACGTCGCAGAGGGCATCTCCCTGTGCACACACGTAGCCCCGCCCACTGTGTTTCTTTCCCATAGGCTGCCATGCATAACGGCCCTCTCTCCAACATCCCTACAATGCCATTGATTCTGCTGCTGCCACTTTTGTTTTTGCTAGTATGATGAGAATCTCTTTTATTGTTCTTGCATGCGGCTTCGTCAACTTATAGATCTATGTCCAAGTTTTAAAGCCACATGGCAGCTTTAGTTGAGGCTGAATGAATCGCTGCTGCTGCTGTGGTGGTGGTTCTGTTGCATTTGCAAAGTAGGTAGCGGTCTGCAACAATCTCTACAGTTCACAGCGTCATCACTGTCGTAGCAATGATCACGACGATGACGTTTCCTCCACCGCACCTTCTCCCCGATCTCTGTGTTGTCTCCGGCCGGCAGGGCGAGTAGGTCCTGCTCCAAGGCGCAGGCCTGCAGCACCTCGCGGTACCACGCCTCGTCCAGCAGCCGCCCGAACAGCACGTTGTCCCGCAGCGAGGCATTCTGGATCCACGCCTGTTGGGCCACGTACGCCACCTGGCCCTGCACATGCACGACACCCGTGACCAGAGAAACAGGCGATGGCCAATCGCTAAATTTGCCTCGTCACCTCCGATTAGTACGGTTGCCTATGTACGGTGCTAAAGAAGTTCAAAATACATATATACATACGTCATTTGCGCAGCTGGGGTATCCAATTATGTAAGGAATTGTTTCTTTCAACGGTTATCCATTTGGTCGCTCGACTCGAATAACACAGAAAATAGTCGCGGTAAAAAAAGCTCGCCTCTGCACCATGTGTCGCTGGACAGGAGGTGTGGGGCATTGCTTAATCGACTAATCATGCGTGTCTAGTCACTGGGATGTGAGTAGGCCTGTAACGATTGGTCACCTTTAACCTCCCCGTAATCTGTGTCACAATTCTGGGATACGATTTGATTTAATATTCATTATTTTTGTCTCGTTTATATTACTCGAAAAATCTGTTTATTCCCATTCATGGTCAACTTAGCTATTCCAGCTCTTGAAGGTGGAAATTCTTTGTCTTGATTGCCACAGAACACATACCCCTTTGCAGGGAATATCATAAGATGTTCGAATACCCAGTGTGGATACAAAACTTTTGAAGTGACTTCAGACGGACTTCTGCGATGTGAGGTTTTTTTAGATGTGGAAGGAAAATAGAACACCTGGAGGAAAACCAGCACATGGGCCCGTAGGCTCCACTTGTCTAAACGATTCACCAACCCCACCTTCAAAGTGCCGGCTTATAAAGAGGTGTGCACCCCCACGGTGGTCAGAAATGAGAGGTGGGAGCCAGGGCTATTTGGGGAGGACATGTATTGTGGGTGGGGGTGGAGGGGGACATGTTAGTTGTACCTTCACGGCCACCGAGCCACTCAACTTGTTCAGCTCCCCAAGAAGTGCAGCCATGAGCGAGGACTTCCCGCTGCCCACGGTTCCGACCACAGCGAAGAGGCAGCCGCGTGGCACAGCCAGGGAGATGCTGCACGGCACAAGGTAGAACGACAGCAGGGGTGCACGGTAGAGGACTGACACAGCAAGAAAAGTAGGGTGCACACACGTCTGGGACGGTGCGTCAAAGTCAACATGAACTCTCTTAATAGAATTCAATCAAAAGTTGATGATTCAGTGCCGTCTCCATCTCCTGCCTCTCTCGTCATCGTCTGTAGCCTGCTCCTGCCCATACCGCTGGGTACGCGTATGGGCAGTGCACTTCTGAAGCCTCTCGTTATTGCTCCCGTCTGTTTGTCAGCCTGCCTGCGCTACTTATCTCTCCTCATCCAACCGTGTGAACTGCACTTATTTACCCATCTGCTGCAGACATACATCAGCAAACCAACTTCCTACGGGAGCATCTTTCAGCCTCCTTTCATCCTGATCACCACTCTCAGCCTGCATTGCTGACAGCGGAGTTTTTTTTGCCAAGCACAGTTCCAAAGGCAAAAAACATCAAGCGGCCAGCAACAAATGGCTCTATCGAAAGTAAAATAGATAAGGGTTAACACTATCCGTTTCTTGATTGAGCACGATTATAAGAGCCTGGGGCAAAGCAGATCATGTAAGGAAATTGAGCAGTACGAGGGGAGAAACAGAAAGAGAAGCGCTGTGACCTGCAATTTGGTGGCTGAGTACAATACGGATGAGACAAAACAGTCGGCCTGGTAGACCGAGTCCTCAACATGGGTGGAGGGTTAAGCTCACAAATCGCAACAGACGCTGAGCTTTTGTCAAGTGACTTTCAATACAAAAACAAGTGTCACGAACACGACAAACACTCACTCATGGAGGATGGGCGGCTCGTCCCAGCTCCACGTGAAGGTCCCTCCTTCGATGGACACACAGCTCTCTGGGAAGAACGAGCGTGAGCCATCAATCACACAATTGCACGCGTAATGGTGCGAGTGTAGGCAAATCCTAGATTTGAAGTTTTCGTGACTGCAAGGATTCATACTTGACTGTGTGTACATGGCCAGATACACCCGGGGGATTTGTCGACATACTCTTTGGTTTTTTCGGTATAGTCGTGTAGGTAAAAAAGTTAAAATAAATTAAATCACGACGTTTCGGAGGCAACACAAGCTTCCGTCTTCAGGTGGAACCGTTACAGTAATTTTGCTGTGATGGTTCCACCTGAAGAAGGATGCTCGTGTTGCCTCCGAAACGTCGTGATTTAATTTATTTTAATTTTTTACCTACGTGACTTTACCGAAAAAACAAAAGAGTATGTAGACAAATCCCCCGGGTGTATCTGGCCATGTACACAGAGTCAAGTATTATGAAATCTTTACCCACGGATGCCTCACTAATAACTCCATTCCATGGGCAGTCGATTCGGGTCACCTCAGGTTGGATTTATTTATCCCATAACTGGAGGTGGTGAGCAATTCAAGTTGTTTTGGCGTTTCCATGACTTTCTGAATTACGGTATTTATCACTTGAGTGAATGAGTCTGATTCATAATGTGCACAGAAGTTATGCTGCGAGTCACTGACACAAACCAGACGTGTTGAAAGCTCTTAACCAGGAATCCTTCAGACAAAAGATTTTATCAGACATATATAAGAGGTCACTAAACGTATTGCTTATACAATTAAACGCTGCACGATGGGCTATGCGTTACCTCCAGCCAATCAAAATTCTTGGAACATACAGAATGATAAAACCATTCGTTTTTTGTATAATATGATATGATCAAGTCACCCCTGCAGCCAGCAGTTACTAATATCACTGCTGTGATGATTGAATTGAATCACAACCCTGAATTGTAATTGTTCAAATCCCTGGGAGGAGGGGGGTGAACTATTCCACTTTTACTGGGGAGACATTCCGAAGCTGATCATTTAACGATCTTGAGTAAATGTGCAAATGTGGCTGGAGAAGCAGGAAAGTAGGCAGGCGAGTGTCTGACCACGGAGATTGGAGGGTGAGCGATCCACGGCATGCGGGTCCAGCTCCTCCAGACTGAGGAAATTCCTCAGGCGACGTAAGGACACACTCGCCTGTGAGCCGCCCGGCACACACACAAACAAAACACAAAGTCCTCCCCATTTAGCGTTATTGACTATGTACGTATGTTGAACTTCTCTCACACCGCATGTAGCCAACCGTGCTAATCGGAGGTGCGGGAAATCGCTATTAGCGAGTACCCAGAAGGCTGATGCTGCACAAGAGAAGGTGTGGTGGAGCGTGGTTGGCGTGGACCTTGATGCAAGGAATGAAATGCCCCCCCCCCATTCAATGACCCCTCCTCTTTGTATCCCAGTGCCATGGCCCCTCTGGTCGATGAGCGCCGGTGCAGTTGCGCCTTCCACCCACTCGATAGCTACGCCGCTCAGGCAGAGCCAGGCTTGACGCCTTTGCCAGTCCAATGCTCTTGTCGGTAACACCGCAAATGTGTAATAATTTTAGGATGTATCGATCCAGAAGAGTTGCAAATGAGGCCGGATTACAATTAACCCGGTAATTGCACATCATTACCAGGAATTGAGTCTGGGTCACTTGGATCGTAGTGGAGTGCATTAACCACTGCACCACTGCTCAGAAATCATGTGCCGCAGGCATTGTGACAGAAGAGGGAAGTGCAGCTAAATTCGCAGTTTTTTTCTGCACTCTCCTCACCTTCACCAACCTCCACTGGACTGGTCAAATAACCCTCATTGCTTACATGGCATGGGGGAGATCCATGTAAAATGATGCATGATTTTTTTTTACTGAAAATAATATTTTTACAATTCATTATTTTTATATATCAACTACTATTTTATCGCTTGAATGAGAAGTGCCTCAATGATAACGCCTGCTCCTGATTTGGAGTTTGTGCTACAGCCGCCTCAGACTGGTTCTACAGGTGTGGCTCGTCACGAGGCGTGGCTGCTGGCTCGGTGATAGCGATAACAGGAAATCTTTCAAGGCTGCTTCTGAGAGCAGCTGGGTGTGTGTGCTCACCCGTGACAATGGCCCAAAGGAATGGCGCAACCTTCACACACACACTCTGGTCACCTTCGCAGCGGCTTTCAGCTAAACCATGGAACAAAGACAGTCGCCGCATCGCTCGCTTTCAGATTCGCTTCTGTGGCCATCTGGAACGCTCTTCCTTCCGAGATTAGGAAGCCACCGGTGCTATGCACTTTTAAATCTAGATTTAAAACGAATTTCTTTTGAACAGTTTTTTCTGTTTAGTTTGTTGTCCTTCCCCTGCATCTCCAATCAGCATGGTCAGATATGTACGGTGCAAGAGAAGTTCAACATACATACATACAAGGTAGACGAGGACTGACATTCATCGGGCTGTTAAGTGTGTTATGCCTATGCAGATTCTGAGTGGGCACGTCTGTTTGCAGGCTTCAGTCTGCTGTCAAACATAAATACAACGTACACACAATTACAAAACAACACTCTTTCGTTGAGCCTTATGGATCGAAAAAATCCTGTGCGGTTAGCGATCATCTACTAATCCTGGCTGCCTTTGTCTCCCCCGGCGCTGTTTTACACACCGCACTGGTTACATACCATGGCGAGTTCGCTCATGAGCTGAGGCAGCTGGTTGAGTGGGTATCGCAGAAGGTTAAAGAGCGCCAGGGACACGAACGCCCTCTCTGCGTCCAGCACGTGGTGTTCGTCCACCAACACGTACACGCCGAACGATGCCAGCGCCACCTAAAAAAACACAAGCTCAATGACTAACAACACAACGCCACACGCAGCAAGAGACACGCTTGTGACCAAAGCTACCCTTGGCCCTCCCATCATGCCTTGCATGTCACGCGACATCACCATACCGCGAGTATAACGTACACATGCTCGTTATAAGCCACCGATTTGAAAGGACATAAATTGTGGCCAACTGGCGATGATATTTAGACTCTGCTGTGTGAGATTCATATTTTAAGTGTATATTGGATGGCAGTGGTCGGCTGCATAAAATAACAGAAATGGGATTTCCCCTTGTATTATAAATTAAAACACTGTCCATTGAAGGAAACAATAACATTATAAAATGTTTAAACTGGGAGGCCTTCATCCAGCAGTTGATTGATCATGGCTCGTGATTATTTAAATTATGAGGGGGAGTGGTGATACAATCATTCGTGCTAACTGTGGCCAGGAATATACTCGGGGTGCCGGGTTCTATAGCGCAGCAAGGCTAACCGCTGCACCGCCCGCCGCGATCAGCGCTTGTGGTAATCGTCGACCGATCCCGAACGCCGCTCACCCTCGTACCAAAAAGGGAGAGCAGAGCCAGGTGAACGCGGAGAGCATGGAGAAGTAAGCGGCACGCCCGAGCACGGCGAGCTCATGCTCGCGCACTCCCAGGATGACGTCTCGGAATCGCCGCTCCCACGCGTACATCTTGATGATGCGCACGCCCGACAGGGCCTCGCTCAGGGTGCGCACGCGCTCGTCGCGCTTCTTGATGATCTGAGCCTGCGATGGCAAATGCACGCGTGGGGCGAGTGCCGTTCATGACCGCGCTGGAGCGTGACCTCGATTCAAGCGAGGGGGCGCAATACAGTCGGTATTAAAGTGAAACATTTATGTTAAACACCGAGCAGAGAGTAACGATATAATATTCCGTTGTTGTCTATTGTGCATTCTGCCTTCGCTGCCGAACATGGAATCAAAATCCCAACTGGTGTTAAATATTGCACCAAATATCTTTGACTTCATTATAGAGAAAAGGGGCTCAGCCCCCTCCAGCTATAGCAGTGCTTCTAACTTATTCCAGCATGCATAGCCGAGGGATGGTCTGCACCAGGGTTCTTGAACTTGTGTTTCGCCCAAAGATATAGTTTGTCGAGACATAAAGAAACCTGCATTTGTGAGATGAAAGTGAGATTGGCATTAGACTTTTCTATTTCTTCTAGATTAAGAGTCGTCATTCGCACCTTCCTATCCCATTGTCTCAATTCTCTCCCTGCCCTGCATCATCCTACTACCTCATTCCCTTTCCTCGATTTTTTTCTTTTATGCTCTTGCTTACACATCAACTCAATATCCTTCTACACTTCTTGTACAGCGCCTTGCGTTTCAGCCATACGTATATGCTTCGCAAATAAAAATTTTTACGTGTTTCATTAAATGGTACGCACCTGTAGAGTCCGTATGTTGAGGGCGATGAAAGCGTTGAAAGGTATCAGCAGCAGCATCACGGCCACCCCCGCCAGCACTGATGGTCCGAGATGCTAAGACAGCAGCACAACAGTGATTTGTTCTCCCAATTGTATTACCAGCATCGTTTCATGGGAACCACAAGGCGTTCTTAAATCTTGCGAGAGCAACGCGTAGAACCCTGGCTAATAAAATTGCCCCCTACTGCGAAAAATTGGCAGGACCCTCCTGAAAAAGAGTCTTGAGACTCATTGAGGTTTTCTGAGTAAACAAGTGGAATACTATATTCTTGGTTCTTTTGGTAAAGTCACGTAGAAGGGAAATAATAAAATAAATATAAACGAATTTTTATTGTTTTATATATTTCTTGTTTTATTATTTCCCTTCTACGTGACTTCACCGAAATAACCAAGATTAGGAGTCCCTGCAGTCACGAAAGCTTTAAATCAAAATTTAAGTGGAATCCTATAATAATAGTGATAAATAATAAACAGATATGTCTCCAGTAGTGACAATGATACCACAACAGGGTAGTGGAACCCTGGGTAATCATAGCATAACCAAAGGCAGATGAGTCTGGTGAGAGGAGTATCTCAGGTGGTGGTGCACGCCTCTCATCCAGCACTGTAGAGGCGGCGAAGGTTGGTGGATCGGCCAAATAACAAAATGTCGCGAGGCTTCCTTCCCACCGGCATTAAGGTACAATACCCTGGCTTTCCTGCTGCATGCAGTACAGCAAAGTGTAGACTGACATCATCTGTCCCTACTCTATGTAGACTGTTGCCCCCGCACGTGCCGGGGGTTTGTCTGGGTGCTCCGGTTCCCTCCCACGTGTATGAACGCTCACTAATTGGCTGAAAACATCTTTATAGAGAGCAAACTGCAGAGCGATTTTTGACGCTGGCTCACCACCTGGCAGCCTTTGAGCTTGTCTATAGTTCCTCAGCGATCGTGAGCTGCAATGTGCATGAATGACGCTACTTAAAATTATATTTTTTTGGAAGGCAAAGAGCATGAACAATGGGAGAGGAGTAGGTACTGGGCCTGTAACTACGCATCAGTTCATAGCTTACAGTTGATTCTTACAATATGTGCATTTATTTGTGAGGGTACGAATATATTATTTCTTATTTGTGTACATTGTATGTAATTGATTCACGTGACCGCTGCAGCCACCAGATGCCCCGTACATTCACCAAAATATGAAAGTAAAGGAATTGCGAGAGGGCGAATCGTTACACGCCATCATCGGCAATGACCAGCGTCGAACCAGCTACCCACCACCACAGCATGACATGAGCTTCAGATAGAAGCAATGGTGGGATGTGGTGGCATCACTGGAATTGGCCGTGAACACCTCACACCTTTTAGTGTATCTCTCCACCCACCTCATGCCTCGGACCACTCAGAGGTTGAGGCCTGAGGCAGAATGTCATGTGGGGTCCTATCATTCCACTGTTGTGAATTGTGCGAATGTCTGTTGTGGGGCCCTCTTCTGTGTGTGGACCAGACCACATTTTTCCCCTTTTGCCACCTTCCTGGGCAGCCCTCCCATTGCCACCCCCGTCTCAGTATCAGAAAGTTACCTGCCAGAGGAAGTACATAGCCAGGCAGATGTGCAGAGGGGCAGACCACACAAAATTGAGGTTGTTGGTGATGTCGGCCATGTGCTGAACATCGACAGACATTAGAGTCGTCAGCTCCCCGCCAGCACACGACAATCGCGCGGCCTGTGTTATCATGAGAGCCTGTCGAGAGAAAAATACAAACGCATTGAGTTATGTTTGCTATTTAGAACACTGGACGGTGATGATGGATATTACTTGGAGCTGAAATAATAGCCAATAGGATGAAAGACGAAACGTATTATTGTTTATATGTGGAGTGACAGAGCAGATATTTTCTTAAATTGTTTTATCCGATATGCTGCAGAGGAACACATAATGAGTTTATATATCTTCTTCTCTTTCTATATATATAAAAGTCAAAATTTGTGTGTGTGGGGGTTTGTGGCGAGATTTGTGTGTGGGTTTGTGTGTGTTCGCGCACTTGGCTCTCCAACGGTGGAGTTTACGTAAAAAAAATATAGCCAGGTACCACGCTGTAAGCCCCGCAGTGAGCAAGCGCTATTCCTTTTCCACATCCGTCAACTTTTAATTAGTTTAATTAGCGATTTAGTGCGATTTTTGTGCGCTTCCCTTTTATTTATTCATTTATGACTCGTGCACGACCATACCAACTCACGAACCTTTGGTGGGGAGGACGGCCCATGCCAAGTCACACGCCTTCAGTGGGAGTGAGGGGGACATTTGCTTTCACATTAAAAATGCTATGAAATACACTTAACGCTGACGTTAATTCTTCACTGTCTGATGTCCCCCCACCCCGATGCATGCAGTTAGTACTACTATACAGTCGCTAGATGCTACCACTATAGGCCGTAGATATTACTGCAGAGCGGCCGGGGAGATCGTGGCTGGGGGGGGGGGGTCAGGGGTAGCAGCCCAGCCCCAGACTGCCAAGGTGCCACCTCGGCCGGCTGGACAATCTAGGCGAGGCCGGAGGCTCTGCACGGGACTAGGCCTAACCACGCCACTCTGTCAGGTGAGTACTTTGTGCTATACAGTCGATAAATACTACTGTACTATAGAGTCAGCATGTACTACTGTAGTGATAGCAGGTACTACCACAGTCGGTATGCACTGCTGTAATCATAGCAGGTACCACCACAGTATGCACTGCTGTAGTTTTGAAATATTTTTTTGGCCCGGGCAACGCCGGGTATATAAGCTAATATACAATATAACATTTTGTGTTGAAGAGGACCCCATCGTTGAGATTGAGTACTCTTGCCAAAAAATATCTGGTAACTCAACAGCATTTGTTCCAAAAAGCCAGAGCCTGAAGGTCAACACTGGTCCAGAGTTGGCTGGATTTTATTAAATGTCATTTATATTTTAAACACAAGAAATACAGGGAAGCACAGAGCCATCGTACATGACGACCGAACGAGCAACACAGACATGAGTAACCCTAGGAGCCCCTATCTGTGATATGTGAAACAACACAGGAACAAGACAAAGAAAAAATATAGAAAAGGAAAAATAGGCAGAGGAAGAAAAGAAAGTGATGGGCAATGAGTGCACGTTGGAGTGGGAGGATCAATTCAGAAGTTAACAAAAGGAGATTCAACCTCACCATAAACCATTAGGGAACCCTGGAGTCTGCTTGCTTAAAACACATGCTGCTGTATATTGGTCCGGAAAGCCAATAGGCCATTGGGCTAAAAGATGTAATCATATGTGGAGAAGTAGAGTTCTGATTTTATTATATATATGCTTAAATGCTAAAGCATGTTGCCAACCGCTGAGCCAGATGCAATACGATGCTGAGTTCAAATCTTTATTATCTTCATCTATAAAGTGCCCATTTACAATAACTGGCACCACTGCATTGTGTCTCACAAGAGAATCCTGGGCTCCTTGACGAAATAAAAAAAAATCAGATAACGAAATTTACATTCTTCATTTTTGGCAAGACTTTGAAAAGTGCTGTTGCACAAAACTGTTAATCACTGTCTTGAAATAGTTTGTGCAGGAAATATATATGTAAATATACAACAGTTAGTTTAACTTCTAAAACAGATTTTTATTTATTTAATGAATTTATAACAATAATTTACAACGATGTCAGTCCAGTGCTGAATGAAGGCTACCGCACATCATGTCAATCATGGGGGTTGTTTGACCATACTTTACCACACTGGTCTATGGGGGATGGTTATTTGGAGGACCCAGGACCAGCTCAGATACAACGCACTGCTGGTGTTAGCCATGGTGAGGAATCCAACTCAGGTCACCGGGTTCATCGTGAAGTGCCAATGCTCTCCCCAACATTTACATGCATCGGCCAGTATAATCAACGTGTGCAAACGATGTGTTTAAGCAGGAAAACCTTGGACCCATTTCAACTTCCAGAGTGTCTCACCAAGAGGGGAGTGGCCCATGAAATGTGTTTTCGACTTTCCGAATGTTATAAGCAACAGCTTATACACATTTGGGGATTAAACAGACGTTTATTATTATTAACTTAACAGACGTTTTTTAACTTTACGTTTTATTTTCCGCAATTCATGACAACGCCTATGGCGCAATGTTGTTGCACTGTGCTGCATGGACCCGTCTGTCTGTGGATATCTCTCGTCTAGCGCAATAAGCAAGCTCGTAACATTTGTTCATCAGGTTGATGAAACTCAGAAAGTCGACGCCAGTCGTGGGTTTGCCTGTTCAAACAAATGGCGCTGGAAGAAATTGGCCCGGAAGGCCCATAGGCTGCTGAACCAATTTTTGTATTAGATTTTTAGACGGTGAAACAGATTTTGTAATGTATGGAAATTATGGTGGCCATATTAAGGTAGTGATGACCATATGACAGTGATGATAGTGGCCATGTGAAAGTATGTATGTTGAACTTCTTTCACACCATACATAGCCAACCATGCTAATCGAAGGTGATGGTGGTGGCCATATGAACGTGGTGGCAGACATATGGAGGTGACAGTGTTCACGTGATGGTGGTGGCCATATGACTGTGGTGGTATCCAAATGAATGCGCAGAGATGTGGGTGCGGTTGGAAGAGTAGGTTGCGGGCCATGCCTTGCGGTAAAGCAAGCCGGTGAGTGCGCTGCGGAGCCGAATGCCCGTCACGAATCCCGCGTGGAAGTGCTGATGCGCCAACATGGACGTGGCGATGGCACACAGGAACATCAGCCCCGCCAAAGCATAGCCATGCCATGTGGGGCGCGAACTGTCCCCGACAAACCGGATCAGGTGACTGCAGGTGCGCACAAGAACAGTGTTAATCGCTTGAATTAATAAACAATCTGAAATGTTGTCTAAATTTCACATTAATACACTGAGGCATTCGTATAATGGTGGCAAGTGAACCCATAGGATGATGATGATAACTGGCATCCATTCCATCGCACGAATGTTTAAGTATGCAGCAGGAGTGAATGTTTCTTTAAAAATATTACAGGTACCCATAATTTAACTTAATAATATGAATATTCAATTGCTGTGAAATGATGGATGAATAAACATTTATTTTTCATCTCACAATACAGGCGTCAAATCAAGCATGAGATTCAATGTTTTTAGTATTCGTATATAGAGAAAAAAAAGCATTATTCTTTATCTGAATTGTAACCCTGAATTGCAACAACTGATTTGCAGGGAGCAGGTCGGTGAATTGTTCTATCCATCGTATTTAATGTTTATTCTTTTTGTGATTATTTTATGGTGTTTGAGTTATAACAATTAACGAATAGTACAAATATCAAAGAACAACCCGGTAATTAAAAGAGTGAAAACCACAACTCAAAAGAGAAAATGTCATGACCAAACACACCAAATACAATGATGGAAAACAAAAATAGATAGAGGCAACAAATTTAAGTTATATCAGCTCTGTGTACGAGATGGTCGCCCTGATCACCCACCCCTAAGGCCAAGCACTTGTCCTCATGGGTTTTAAGACTCTGGACAGCCCCATCAACTCACCCCGCTGTGCCCTCACCGTTCCCTGGTGTTCCCATGTCTCACCTGAGCAATAAGGGACTTGCGAACGACAGAATGTCCTGCAGGAGTTTGTAGACAGAGCCCACGAGATATCGTGGCCCAAACGCCAACGCCATGGCCCTGATGAGGGATGGCTCTTGACCTGTGGCTCCTCCCTCTGTCCCAGCACCACCACCCTGGGACTTCTCCCTGGGCAGGCGTAGCCGAACGGAGATGAGGTTCCTGTCCTCACCGGGACCCGCTGCTTCCTTGGTCAGGTGGCCGTTTTTATCTCGTACGTGGTATGCAGCTTTCACGTCTCTGCCGGCCAGAAAAAAAAACACAAAAGAGGTGAGCGGAAAGCCTGTGGCCTATCAGAGAGCAATGAAGTTGTGTTATTTCGATATACAGCTCTTGGGAAGTGCAAAGCGCTTCGCCCATCATTGATTCCTGCCCAGGAGAAGTTTTTGTTTTCTCCTGAAGCCACTCGCTTGCAGATCATGTCACTGCAATATCTTTGGGAAATGTCTTTCCCCACAATGTATGTTGTATGTATGTTCAACTTCTTTCCCACCGTACATAGCCTACCATGCTAATCGGAGGTGTTGGAAGCGATTCTTTGGCAGTGGAAACATGGAAAGTACTGGCAGCCAGATCTAGTGATTTTGTTGTTTTTCAGTTTGCAAAATTTTTCAGTGAACACACAAACACAGACGATTCGAAGCATCCAAGCTAAATTACAGCTGTAAATTGTCACTATAATATTTGGTAATCCTTAAAAAGTAACTTGCTTTTATCGAAACCCTCACCAATTGTTGAAACAACACACCTTCTACGTCAGGCCAACTGAGTTTTCAGTCACAATGTGAATCCAGTTCAACTGGAGCATTTTTAGAGCCATTGTGTTCAAAGATGTTTATAAATTATGTTGGTGATGTGATTCAGATATTGGCAGGAGGCCATATAATGCCTGTGGAGGGCTCTGTTTAGTTTTGTATTACTGTATATACTTTTCAATTTACTTTGCCAAGTCGGGGTGCTATGCCAGGCTTAAATTGCCCTGTACTTTTACGAGACAGATGTAATATTTGTGTAACTGTATGGGTCACTGGATGCATAGAAGGTTCAGGCAATGATGCTCGGAATTTAATGGCAGGATAAGATAAGCAACATGGAAGTGTGGAACAGAGCATGGCAGCCAAGTGCTGTAGATGTAATTTAAAGAAAACAAAGTTTTCGATAGGTGAGACACATGTGGCAGATAGAGGGCAGGTAACCGAGACATACATTGCAGTGGGCACCTAGAGATCAAAGACAAAGGAGAATATCTAAAGCCGAATGGTAAGATTATGTAAGAACAGATCTTGGAGATTGGGTTGACTCTGAAACAGCTGCATGATTTAGAATAAGCAATGGTAAGGTGCGGTGGAATGAACAACATTGGCTGTAAAGACATCTGAAGTTCAGTCAAACCATACCAAAAATCAGAGTAACCAAAATTATCTGTCGCTGAGAAGTGAACTCAGGTCATTGGGCTTATAGTGTAGTGTGCATTATAAACAATGGGAAAACTATAAATTACAAACTACTGGACCGCTGTAAATGTCGATACAAATTAACAATTAACCATGTCTTGTGTCATATATATATACAAATTACCATGTCATTTGAAGTGTACAATTTAGATATTGATTACAAATGGAACAAATGACACTACAATTAACGCTTACAATTTAGACATGTATCTCCGGCAATGCACTAACCACTGCGCAAACCACTTCAACTCCATCTCTAACATTACAGCACATGGAAAACGTAAGTGGCGAGATAAGGTCTACCCCGATCTTTGTGCGATCCGAGCTTGCTCCTTCCTCCACTCGGCCTGCAAGTGTGGTACCACGAAGCCGCAGGAATCCTTGTGCCGCAGTGACCACAGGTCGCTCATCTTCAGTCCCCTACGGTACCCATTCACCGCCATCCTGCGTAGCATAGACATGTGGCAGGGGAGGGGGGAAATGAACAGGAGCCATTTACCCACAACTCCGATTAACACGGTTGGCTACATATGGTGCGAAAGAAGATCAACATATGATAATTGTAGATTTGAAGCTTTCGTGACTGCAAGGATTCATACTCTTAGGTTTTTTTGGGTAAAGTCACGTAGGTAAAAAATGTTAAATTAATAAAAGTAAAATAAAACAAATTAAAAAATTCACGACGTTTCGGAAGCAACACAAGCCTCCGTCTTCAGGTGGAACCGTCGTGGCTGTGACGGTTCCTGCTGAAGACGGAGGCTTGTGTTGCTTCCGAAACGTCGTGAATTTTTTAATTTGTTTTATTTTACTTTTATTAATTTAAACATTTTTACCTACGTGACTTTACCGAAAAAACCTAAGAGTATATATGATAATTGGTTGTTTTACCCTTTTATCTGGCAACAAAACTGACACCTTTTTTTACAAGGAGTCATGTTTGCATAGACCACAATACCTGCAGTCGGAATGCAAACAAAAAACATAACTCTGATAATGTATGCACTGTCCTTGAAGTTGATTGGTCCACACCCGAGACAGCTTTCCTTAGAGCCTAGTCTCACATGGTGTGCTATGTTTTTTGTTTGCATTCCGACTGCAGGTATTGTGGTCTATGCAAACACTAAAAAAAGTTGTCAGTTTTGTTGCCAGATAGAAGGGTAAAACAACCAATTATCATATTTTTCTACTGGCAAATGAGGTTCCAAGGAAGATCAACATACATAATTACATACCCCCCCTAATTCCCATGTTCCCATGGCCTTGTTGGAAAGGAGTTGGCCCAGATTTTCGTCGCAGACTTTCCAGGCTGACCCGACTCACGAGAGGAGCTCACCGCTTAGCACTCGCAGAAGCAGCCAAGATGTCACAGCGTCAACACGAAAGGATTTTGTTTTCATTCGGTTGTTTTTGTTACAAAAATTATGACATAATGTAAATGAACAAAAATAACAGACGTCAGCTTGAGATAGTGCCACAGAACTCAACTGTAAGTTTATTGCTGAACTAAGATAGCATCAAATTTCGATTTAAAGCTTTCGTGACTGCAGGGATTCATCTTCTTGGTTCTTTCGGTAAAGTCACGTAAAAGGGAAATAATAAAATAATAAAAATAAAACATAATAAAATAATTCTCACTACGTTTCGGCCACAACGCAAGCAGCCGTCCTCAGGTGAAGAACAGGTCTGTTGTGCGTTGTGGCCGAAACGTCGTAAGAATAATTTTATTATGTTTTATTTTTATTATTTTATTATTTCCCTTCTACGTGACTTTACCGAAAGAACCAAGATGATAAGATAGCATCCTCCTGGCCGTGGAGGGAAGAGAAGGAGAGGGCGGACAGAGAGGAAGGGCAAAGTCTATGGAGCCGAGTGGCCATGAAGTGTTGGGACAAAAAACAAGCCGCGCTGAGCCATACTAAGAACAGCCTGGTATGGCGCAGGTCTGGTTTCTAATAGCTGTGGAAACACTCCAAGGTGTGTGTTGGTTTGGCTTGGGCTGTATTGTGGTGATCCAAAGCAAGTTGTGAGCACAGTGCAACATGACAATTTCACATCCAATTGACTCTCGATATCTAGGAAAATCAAGATCGCATTGATATGTTAAACAAGAGAGAACCTCACCTAGTGAACCAACAGAAGGTGAGACGAGATATGAAAGAGGCACCAACTTCCGGACACAGGTTCTGAATCGCAAAAACAACACAGAGCGAGCTGCTACATGAGATCACAGCACAGAGTCATGGTAAACTGTGTGGCATAGCGTAATGTGTTTGACGCAGAGCAACTTTGGTTAGAGAGCTTGGCTCACTGATTGGGAAGGCTGAGAGAGTTAACCTTCCAATTGGGGCTTAACTCCAGAGTCGATAATATAAGTACTGAATTGTGGTTATTTGAAGGACAGACTGACCACCGTCTTCGGAATGCGAAATTTTCAATGCTGTCTTAGAGCCACCAATTGAGGAGCACCACCACATAGATTGTTTGAACTAGCAAACTTTTTGGACTTTCTGAAATAAAATAAAACAACAATAAATCACATTGACGAAAGCAAATTTAGTTAAATTGTCACTTCGAGGTGGCTTCCAATATGCCTATTCCTGAACAGACAGAATTGCATCCTAAAGTTAATTTGCTCCCAACTATGAAGGGATCTCAGAGGTACCCCTGTGATATCTGCTTCCATGAGCCAATTCCCGATAATAAGTGTTGCAATACTCTGAGAGCAATCCAACTGGGTACGTTGTCTCGTGATGTGACAACGAAAGCACATGCGAGATAAAATTAGCCAAAACGGTAAAAAATCTATGGATTAACTCACCGGGTCGTCAGAGTCTGTGCTGAAGAGCGGTCGCTTCTCAGGGAGAGAAACAAGGATGAACTGTATGAGCACGAGCACCGAGTACATCAAAAACACCGAGTCTCTAAACGGGTCCTCCAACATGCCCTGCACACGAGAACGCACATGCACAAACACGCGCGTGCACTCATGAATACCGTTACACCGTCATCAGGGATGTGATCCCAATTTTCGGATGAATGTTAACAAACAAAAAAATCTGAAAATCGACCCAAGCTATGACGTTTCAGATTGTCCAAAAACAATATTGTTTTCAGAAGTCAAGCAGAATGGAGTCTGAACAGTGCTTGGGTGAGCAACCACCATGCACAGAGGTAGTTATAGGCTGCTCTGGGGGGTACGTGGTGGGCAGTAGAGAGTAGAGGGGAGTGCAGTAATATCCATTGTCGTTCTGTACTTCTATGCTTTCATGCCCTGCTTCCCACCTTTAACAGCCCACACTGCCCAGCATGGTCAAATATGATCAAGTAACCCCCAAGACCTGGACTGCATGTTCATCGCTGAACATTTTTCAATTAGTGCTTTCCGAATTGTTTGTGTTCACAAATGTATATTTGTTTACCGTACTTATTTCAAGGTCGGTCACCCTTGAAAACTTTTGGTCTGATTGGGCACTCACCTGGGAATAAATGATACCCCTTTTGGACTGCACATCTGAGCCAAGCCAGTGTAGGACCCTCACAGTATGGGTGGTTTTCACGGCGATTTGCCATGCCCAACCGGCACCAAATTAATATATGTTGGTCTCACGAAACATCTGGATTTGGCTCGAGGCCAAGTAGGGCCAGAGCCAGCACTAATGATACATTAATTGCATATGACATCAGTCATTACACAGAGGACACGGCATCACTGCTTCTTCATCTATACATGCGGCTCAACTCATTCATTGCATGTGAAGTCAGTGGCACGGCTCGTGTTCTGAAGTAGAAAAAACAACCTGGTTTCTGCTGAGCTGCACTGTGGCTGGGCTGGCTCTTGCACAGCCCTGCTCGCTCTGTACTGTGGAAAAGAGACAAAGGCCAGGCCAGGTATCTGTCCATCTGTTTGTGTGGCAACGCGTGCAATCACCAGGCGAGTGGCGTGCAGCACACGTGACCGCGTCCCCGTAACCGCCCCCACCAGCACCAGCAGCCAGAAGACGAAAAGCAGCGCCGAGGAGTGGACGCCGCTCCAACGCTCCACCTGCCCCAGGACCGCCGCCAAGAGCTGCAGGGCAGTCGGTGAATGAAAAGCAGTGAATGGAAAATCAGTCAAGGGGGCCCTAAGTGGCAGCTGTCCCTGTGCGGCACCAGCGGCAAGTGGCAACTGCTTGAAAATGGGCCATTATTCTATTAGCACGATTATCATGGTTGGCTACGTACAGCGCGAAATAAGTTCAACATATATACATACATGCAAGTGGGTGGGGTGATGTTGCGATGCGGTTTACCCGAATTAAGCCATTTGTAAAACGTTAACCATAACGCCGGCACATATGGCCTACTCTTCTCAGAATAACATCAGGGAATTATTAGCATCCACTGTGAAGCAGATGGCGAGTATTTAGATGAATGCATCCGCTATTGCTCTGCCATGTCACGCCCCATCGGTTAACGCACAAATGAAATATCAAGCAATGAGCAAAAACAAATACCCCTCAACAGCTCACAATTACAAATGTAAAACAAAGTTATACATTTTCCCCAACTCACTGACCCTGGCCAACCATGGAACACAGTCACGTTTACATCCATCCATTCATCACTTCATCAGCAACCACATGCACCCCACAGTCACTACTTAATGATTAACCTCGAGAACTCTGTGTGCAGTTTAACCTCCTGTAAATTGCAGCTAATTTTACATTTTCCATAATGGAGGCTTTTTTGGTTTGATCGCGAAAATATAAATGTCATTAAACCCGCCACCACCCGACACAACCAATTAGTAAGGTTTGTCACGTAAACAAAACATGCCAATTAGTTACAAATTCAGTACACCGGTGTGTTGGAGAGTAAACCCACATTTACAATTCGAGTACTATGTTTCACCGGTAATAACAACCAGCCTCATCAGGCGGCAGCCAGAGTTGTGGAGAAATCCTCCTGTTTCGCTCTTAAATGGAGGTAAATGTTATGTCGTCACTGTGAGCCAATCCTTTGCAAGAAACATTGATGTTCCACATCACGTCACATGCTCTCTGATGTGTTTTCGAGTTGAACCACGTGTTGTTTGGCATGATGTCCGACGTCTCAATCCACGTGCTGGGAGCTCATGCAGGAACTGAACAAGATGATCCCAGTATAGAGGAAAACGTTGGGCTTCATTCCAAACAACACATGGTCCCACCAGAAAGCACATCAGAGAGCAATGTAGCACAACCAGAACCACCTACATAGTGACATTACACGTACTTCTTGTTGCCGTATTCAAAACACCCACAAGGCTCTGCACAACTTTGAGATATCGCCACTTCCAGTCCACAAACTTTTGGTGATCTGTAATTTTTCCGAGTGATTATCTAGAACAAAATCTGCACAAAAGGTGTGCCAAATGTACATGTACGGGTGTGTGCATGCTTGCCAACGTGCCATGGTTGCCCCCAGAATGAGTGGTGATATGAAGAAGATGGGAGGAAGTGAATGACCTTGGCTCCTCTCCCACAGCGAGAAGAACAGTTTGGCCCAGCACAACAGCCATAGTATAGCACACAGCACCTGACAGCACACAGTACGCACAGAATTCACACATCATACGGTCAGTACATGGTATTGCTTGATTCACGTGATAATACCTGTAAACTGTTCCGAGTAGTTGTTTATGCACAAGTTTTTAACGTGACCAAAAGTGATGCTGCCCATCAAGACAACAACAATAACAACATAGCAAGAGATTGAGCACATTTAGGGTGACTGTACGTGCACATGTACAGCCCTTATTGTCAATCCACTGCTATAAACACAATATAATATTGGATTTTGCTGATTGCTCCTCTGCTGCCCAAACCATAGCCCAGTCATAAAAACCTATGACAACCTGTTTGCTCATGGTGGTGGTCACCCATTCAAACACTATCAAGGCTCAACCCTACTTCGCTTCCAAGATCTGGGAAGACCAGGTGTCATTAGCTCGGTATGATTCAGTCATAATTCATTAAGGGCCATTAATCATACACAAGGCACGAATCCCACCACCGCGCCTTTCCCCGAGGACTCACGGTCTTGGCACGGCTGAGCACGGAGCAGGCAATGTAGCCCTGGCGGTGGTGTCGCAGCCAGACGAAGTACGGCAGAGCGGCGAGCCACAGGAACGTGCACGGCACCCATACCAGCACAGTGGCCTGGAAGCAGGCGGGGACGTCCGGCGGGTCCCCGTGTAGAGTCAACGTCCAGTTCTGCCAACGCATTCATTCAGCCACATCAGGAGCCTGAATTCAAGTTAATTTGGTTAACTAGGTGAGAACTTAAGGGGCCAGGATGCGTCTCATTTGCAAGAAGTGACTTGGATTAAACCGTAGAGTTTAATCCAAGTTTAATCCATATTTGCATCAATATATTTGAAATATTAAATCCTAAATATTTTAAAGCAATGAATATTTTACAATTATGGATGATATAATTATTTGCAGCATGCCGGACATCCTCCATAATTGGAAAGGCTCTCCTCGCGATTAGTCCGGCTTCGAGAGGGTTTGTCATTTCTGTGTGAAGGAATCTAGAGCAACAAAGGCAATGTGCCTCGCCTTGCTGTTGTTTATGAATAGGTCCGCTGTGAGCCTGTGGTACGTGATCTCACAATGGTGCTTTGCCTGTATGTACTGTAAATAAACACTGTTGCTCTTTTACATTTGATACCTCCCCATGTTGTAACGACAACAAACGAGTTATGGGTGGGATTTGTTGAGGTTACCACTGGGTCCTGCGCCTCCCTTCCCTCTGAGATAGTTTGACTTAGGAAACGACTGAACAACTGAACAAACCATTTTTTGCTGACAAAGGGAAGGGCTTTCAGGGGGCAGAGAATTCCTAAATCTACGGAAGCGCCTCTTTGTTGAGTTTTGGTCATGCGTGTGTTTGCATTAGATAAGACAGCAAGTATTAACTGGCGGCAAGGGACTGATATGGGTAACGTTTCCAGTTAATTGTAATGCATTACAGTACTCCGTAAGATATTGTTGAGTAGCGGAGAGGGCTCATAATAACATGGCTTTGCCAAATTACATAGCCAGCAGCATTGACATCCTTCGTATTAATCCAGACAGATATCCGTGATTACATTTGTAAATACATAACTATAAAGTGCTTTTAAAGTAAAAGGTAAAATGTCTCCATTCTCTAATGTGCATTCGGAGGGGCACTCATCTTCATTGGCGGGCCTGAGCTCGCAGTGGAAATTCCACATTCCCATGGTGGGGCCATTTTCTTAATAAGACCATGCACTATTACATGGTCTCCTTATTGAGGAGACCAAGTTGACTCTGTAAGGATGATGGGCTGCGTCAGAATGGCATTTTGTTCAAAAGATTAGATTACTCTTTTCGGTGCGCACTTCCAACTCTGCTTCCAACAGAGTGGATGAATATTTGTTTTTATGCTTGAGAATTGACATGACCGTGTCATAACCCCACTCCCACATCGCATTAGGGTGTGACTAGCCTGACACTGCTGGCTCAATGGATAGAGAAAAGGGCAGAGGTGTGGACTCGAGTCATGTGACTTGGACTCGAGTCAGACTCGAGTCATGAATTTGATGACTTCAGACTCGACTTGGACTTGCATAACAATGACTTTGTCCCACCTCTGAGGTGTGGACTCGAGTCATGTGACTTGGACTCGAGTCAGACTCGAGTCATGAATTTGATGACTTCAGACTCGACTTGGACTTGCATAACAATGACTTTGTCCCACCTCTGGAAAAGGGCATCATCGGTGTCAACGAACCTTGACGAGAGTTACGTGGCTTTATCTCAAGTGATCACAGAGCATTGGGACAGTGCTCATCTCTGTGGGTAGCCCTGAGCCAGTGGTGAATATTCCACATTCCAATTGTAGGAGGTTAGCTCTCGACCGTTAACTACTGTTAACTTCACACAGTTTTACTCATTTTATCCACCTCAGAAAGGAGAAATTATAAATGCGATGCAATATGCTGATTGTCATTTATTTTAATCAAAGGAACAATTATTGGAATATGACTATATTTAATTGCAAACACGCTTTTTTTCCTTCTGAACGTGATCGTGTAATATTTTTTTTCTCCCCAGTGCTGATATTTATACACCACACCAGGTACCAATTTAAGGCTGAGTCGACCAAGGGGATGCTCAACACTGGTTATAATATCACTCACCACTGATAGTAGTCATGCTGGTAATCAAACTAGTTTCCATGTACAGGGTGCAAACCACCATGCCACCACTAACCAGGATGGATATATATAACACAAACAAGACCTCTATTTGCGTCTAAATCTTGCTGTCTGTGTCACAGTCACGCAGAACACGTTTGCCAATCATCAGGCACATGCAGTGTGTAATTTATTTGTGGACAAGAATGGTAAACATGGACAGCTGACAACTGGGGTTTGAGAAACCATGCCATAGTCGGATTAGAGCATGTAACATAAACTGATCAGGGGTAGTAGAAATTTACGTTAGAGGGACTGTGAGGCAGGATTAGAGGTTCACAAACAAAATTAAACCATCACATATGAGAAAAAAACTTTCATTGCAGAAAATATATTCGAATAAGGGATTAAGTTACACAGCATTTGACTCAATGAGTATGTAAAATATTGAAATTCTGGCTGAGGGTCGACTCAGTCTATTGGGCAATAAAATGGGTAAGATTTTGTGAGCAGTCAACAATTGTCGACTTCGAGACGGGCCCCCCCACATCGAAATGTGGAATGTTCACCTCTGACTAAGGAAATGAAAATAAGCACCGCCAAAAATGTCCATCCTCGGGTCACTTTTACTTTTAAGTTATCATATTGAGTCAGATGAAATTCAACCGTAATTTCTGCAGCAAAACTACATACTAATAAGTACCCAACCTTACATAAGCAAACTGATTTGTGCGTGTAATAACTGTCAGGGCAGCCTATCATTACTTACAATCATTGAAATACGGTACTCGTCAGTCAAACGGAATACTTAGATTCCGCAGATTTCTTTTGTCCAGAGGAAAAGGTCGTGCATTAAATATCTCGGGCTCCATCTGTAACTGTCATTAAGCGAAACCAGTTTGGTGGGGTCATACCTGAACACAAGACACGAGCATGCTTTGGGAGGTGGAGGCAGGGGTGAATGATTAAGATTAAAAGATGAGCTCTTTCAACAAGGCTTTTCACAGCACCATTAGACGATCATAAAGAGTTTGGTATATACAACATATTTTGGGCAACTGCAAAGTATCTAGCTTTTTAATATACAGTACTGTAACTTAAACATTTCCAAACATCAGATTTTTATGCAATAACAATGACACAGTGGAATATTTTGTGTACACAGTGTATTTACAACAAAGTTATAACTTTTATCACTGATTTACTTTATAGCAGCCAAGAATGGTCAAGCTGTGAAAACCAAAACTGAAAGTTACACAAAAAGTGGATCCCGGTGATGCATCAGAGAAGGTGGATGATAGGGGTATTGTAGGCTACTAGTATCGTTAGAATTAGAGCCAGTGGTGGCTCGTGACATGTTGTGATTGGCCTCAGATAATAAGGTGTTCTAATTAAGAAAAACCTCATCATCTTATTGGCCTTCCCGTGAAAGCGATATGTCTTATCTACCAACGGTAGGCATTTATAAACAATACGAAACAAAACAACAAAGCACTCAAATTCTGTCCCCATGACCCTCAAGTCCACACTGCACAACCCCTTTCACACTGCCTCCTAGAGCGTGTAGGACGTGACTTGCACAGTGCAACCTCGCGTTGTGACATCGTCTCATTACAGCCATGGGCGCCTTTTTCAACGGCCCTGAATGGGTCTCAAACGGCGTGGCTACAATGCTCGAAGCTAATCGCAAAGAACGAAGGGAAATCTCTCACTGACGCCTTCACAGCTGCCCCGAGACCTCCCCGAGGCACAAATCAGACTGTGGTGTTGCAGCGGTTTCTGATATGAACAACTTAAAATGTTATCTTCATTAGGTAATTCACGTTGAAATAATAATTCCATATTTTAAACACAACAAAACAATTTATAGAAAAATTCTTTCTTATCTCCAGCTGCTTGGTGGGGCGGCGCCCCAACGCCCTTAGTGGACGAACCGCGCCTGATTAGAGATGATACTTCAAATCTAGATAAGAGCTGATACTCATATTAGCAGGACAAGTGGCAACCCGAGGCTAAACGAAGGCTAGAGTTCTATTCTTTTGAAACTTACTTTCATGCTGTAAGTCTGAGTTTTTTGCTCCTGTTAACTAAGGTCACTTTTTTAGGCTCGGTGGCTCGAAACGCTATTCCTGGAGACGACGCTTAAAGCCACTATTGTGGATAAAAGACCGGTTTTACGGATAGTGATGGCACTGATAGCACTTGTATGGTTCTGATGCACAGTATTGAAATTCTAGATTTTAATCAAGTAGTTTTTGTCATGAGGCTTCCCACTTAAAAATGTTCCACAAACGATATTTATCCACCCACTGCAAGTATCTAAGCTGCACTAATCGGGTACTAAAGGGGAAATATGTTCAACCTGGGAACACTATGTTTCTAGCCTGTCGTTCCAAGGTCATCTTACTACGACAGAAGTGTCTGAGGTGTGTGCTAATGTGTGGCTCGCCAAAGGTATTTGAAAGTTCGAAAACTAAACAACTTTTTAGCTCTTTTTTAGAAGCGACCTGGCCACAAATGATAGCTCAACGAAGTGGCTTATCACGTGGAAATGTATAGCAGTCAAGTACTCTAAACACATGTATAGAAATCCACACGACCACAGGGAGAACATAAAAACTCCAAATACACAGATATTAGGGTTGGGATAAAACCCACGACCTCCAGCATACCAGGCGAGGGAGTTGACATCTCACCAACACGGCACTCTATTCAGTTTTCAGGAAAAAGTTTCCCACTCCTGCTCTAAAACCCGATCTCCTTGGAATTTAACTTTTATTCACAAATAATATCAGTGTTTTCTACTTTTCGATTTAAAGCTTTCGTGACTGGAGGGATTCATATTCTTGGTTCTTTCGGTAAAGTCACGTAGAAGGGAAAAACAATAAAATAATAAAAAATAAAACAATAAAATGCTCACGACGTTTCGATTGCAACACAAGCGATCATCATCAGGTGTGAAAACCACAGCAATACTTTTTTTTCCCTTCTACGTGACTTTACCGAAAGAACCAAGAATATGTTTTCTACTTGTTATGTTATAAGGGC